CGCGGGCCTCCATCTCCTTCTCATCCTTCCGTTTTCTCTCCTCCACCATCTGAGACTGGGACTTGGCGAGGGGATCGAATCTCCCCAATTTTTGGCGGCGTTTCCACGCCAGCACCGAGTCCTCCAATTTCTCATACTGGGTCTCTGGCATCTGATACTTTTCTACCGAACTGAGATCCGCCGCGAGGAAGTTGAGGTTTTGTCGCAGTTGAGGAGGCCGGGTGTCCTGGACTTCGATCTCGGAGCCCCTCCTGATCCCGAATCGGGGATCAGAGAGCAGCGACACGTCGCTGCTCAACCCGGTCCAGCTCCCGTCCAGAGATTTTGTGCGAAGAGATTGTGACGACGAAGGAATCCCCGTGATAGGTTCAAGTTTGGATTTCAGCTGGGACACGGTCCATGTGGGGGTTATACGACGCTCCGCTGAGAGGAGGGGCGGAGCTGTGGGATTGGAGTCGTTGGGCACAACTATTTGCACTGTGATATCGGCCGGTACTGGTGTTGAAAGAGACATCCTGGCTGATTTGATAAAGCAAAGTAATTTTGATGCGTATCAGCTGTGTGATGACAATGGCCTCTAGGAAAAGAAAGAAGAGAACAATTTCAAATTCGGGATCGGGAGTAATTAATATGCCTCCTTGTGGAGAAGCAGTGAGAGGAGCGGTGTTGTACTTTGGTCTGAATACTCGGCAGTAGGCCGCTGTACGGAGGATTACGCAAACCTTAGCACGCCAAACGAACTTGTTTCCTCGCTGCTCAGTTTGACGTTTCTTTGCCACCTGCTTTTTGCTTGCTTGCTCTCGATTCTTCAACGTTGGGTGAGCATTGACAACGCTCTATCAAGCGCCATTCGAATGGTCCATATCGCGCATCCTAGCGAACCGTGTTTCTCAACACTACCCAAATCCCGTTACTTTTTCTGCGCAACCACTTGGCTACTATTGAACTCATCTCTGTTCTTTTTAGCTACGTAAACGGGCTCGCCCAGATGCTGGTTGTGCCGTCATGCAAAAACGTAGTGGTACTTGCAGATCTGCTGCGCCTTCTTTCTCCTTGATAATATCAACCTATTTGTGAGGCCTTCCAGCGGAACACAGGCCATCCTGATCAATGGCTCTTGCTCATTCCTCCTCAGTTTTCACCATCACGTTTTCATTCATCAGATCGCGCTCAGCTTGAGGTAGCTTTCGACGAAGGATCTTTCCAGAAGGAGATCGGGGGATTTGCTTGACAAAGATGACATCCCCAGTGATTTGCTTGTATGAGATGAGTCTGGATGCGACAAAATTCTTGACATCCTGCTCTCGCAATGGGGCTGCTCGATCACGGCCAGATCGAACCACATATGCGCATGGAAATGTCTCCGACAATCCTCCCGCGATCTCCCGGATGTCACCGACCACAGCGACGTCCTCGATCTGGGGATGCTGAATGAGAACACTCTCGAGTTCCGTCGGTGAGACCTGCCACCCCTTGACTTTCATCGTCTCTTTGATCCTGTCAGAATAGTATAGATAACCTCCCCGGACAGACACCCGGTCGCCAGTGCGGTAAAAGCCGTCTGAGTCAAATGAGTCGTTGTTGGCGTCAGGATTTCCCAGATACCCCGAGAACAACATGGCGGTTTTGATAAACGCCTCTCCAGCCTTGCCCTCCTCCACAATCAGGCTGCCATCTTCATCCACCAACTTCATTTGAGCATTTGGCAGCAATCGCCCCACGCTACCCGAACGATCCTTCTCTTGCGAGCAGCTGCCTATAGTGTGCCAGCCTGCTTCGGTGGTCCCCCAACACTGAGTAATCACCGCCGTGGGTGCCAAGACATCGTACAACTTGTTCTGCACGATTGCGGGAAGAGTGGCACCGGCAGAGACGACATATCGGAGACTTTCGAGAAGGGGCGACTTGGAAGCAGGGAGCTGGGTCAAAGCGCCAACAATTGGTGGAGAGACTGGGGTGTCGGTAATGGCGTACGTGTGTATGGCTTGCAAATATTCCGAAAGTGACCACTTTGGCAGGAAAAAGGTGGGAAGACCCAATCGAAGTGGCAACACCAGGGCCAAGGGTGATGCAAATGCGTGAAAGACAGGTAGACAGATCAGCTGTGATGGCTATGAAGCATGTCAGTCTTGCTTCTGCCGCCTTTGGATACGCGCGGACACCATACTCGGTACGATCTGTGACGGAATTGATCCTCCAGGATTGCCGTCAAGGCCACAATATACCGATGCGAGATCATCGCGGCCTTAGGGAGACCGGTTGTTCCGCTGCTCATGGAATACGCCGCAATGCGCTCTTGGTCAGGTTTCCCATTTGCAGTGCGAGCATGCCAATCACCTTCGGGCTCACGCAAGAGGGTACGCCAGCTACCATATTCCCGACCTTGGACTTGGGGTGAGGCGTCATGGGACCCTATGATGAAAATTTTGGAGCCCATCTCGCAGTAGGCCACCGCTTCAATCATTGGTTCCAAGCAGTCTACTTGAGCAAAGATGACGGTAGGCTTCGTGAGACGGAGCAAATGAATCAGCTCATCTTTGGTGTATTTGGGATTGGACCCAACAACACGAGCCCCGGATCCGATTACTGCCAGCCAGATCGAGGGATACCAGATCTATCTTCGACCCCAGGTCGATCCCCCTCGGTCAGTCAAGTCACACAGCATCAAGGTGAAGCAGTGGGCAAGGCGGGAATAGCCGGTCTGCGCAACAGGAGGAAGACTCACGTTGTTAAAAGCATGCAGGCACACGCATCCGCCGTCCTTCAGACCCAGCGCTGAAAGGCCGTGGGTCAGTTGGCGAACAGTCTGAAGGGCCTGCTGGGCCGAGATCCTATTGGAGGGATCGTTGGCATCGATGAAGATCTGCGAACGAGGATCGAGGCGATCAGCATCAAGGCCAAAGGCTGAGACTGCATTGGTTCAAGCAGCTTACTGGGCAATTATTGTCATATTGACTTAAGTTGGCAAAGGCAAAGGTCAAGATGTCAGTGGTCGGGATCTGGATGGATCTTGGAGCAGTCCAGACAGCATCGACCATGTCTGTGGGGTGGGGTTGGGACAGAGACATGGTGTAACGGTGGCTTGCAGACAACGAAGACACAAAGACAGGTGTGACAGTTTGCCGGACGGTCAGGTAACACAAGAGATGCAAGAAGCATGCCTTTTGTGAGCATGAATGAGGAGCAAAGACGGATCACTGGTAGGAACGTGGAGATGAGACCGGTCCTGCTGTCAGAGGACAGAGAGAACGAGAGGCCAAAGGGAAGAACTGAGGATGTCCTTGAGTGAAAGGTAAAGGCTCGTAGGGACATGTCACTAGGGGAGGTGAGTGAAGAGGATGAATTAAGCAATCAGGCCTGTCACTGACCAGAGGGGCTGCCAGCTGAAGAAGGTGAGGTCGACGTCAGGATCCTTGCCATCGTCATCGCCACTGTCACCCTCACTCTGACCCTCACCGTCGCCTCGTTCGGGTTTAGCCACTGCGATCCACGAACAGCAGGTGCAGTCCAGATTTGACATGTGAGAAACACGTGCAGAGTCGCTGAAATGATACAACATGCACCATACAACATACAACATGGCTACATAGCACGATGGTAGGTGTGCAGAGGGATTCTGACAGCGGCTACATTAGTCAGCTCCAACAGCATCTACTCGTCTCTTGTCTGGTCGGCCTCTTGTACTGTGAAGATGGGGGAGAGGCAGAAAGAGCTGCAGCAAGAGGAGAGTGCAGAAGAGTGCAGTGGTGGTGGCAGTGGTGGTGGCAGTCGAATTTGAGGTGGAAGTGGCTGCAGATGGACCACATCACTGCTGTCTGCAGCTGTGCTTCCTTCCTTCTCCCTCTCGAATCAATATATTGGCGTCACTATCAATTGGCTACCGAGAATCCAAACCAACAGTAGCTGGGCCATTCCACCTCCCTGAACCATCGATCCAAATCCGTGGGTCCAATCCTCCTTTGGGATCCATCCTGGTTGCATGGGCATGCAGTATCGCAGTATCCTTATCCCTTTCCTATCCCATCCTTATCCTCATCGCCCCAGTCCGAATCCAGTCCTATGGGAAAGCATCACGCACGAGCTGGCCACGCCACGCTTTCGCCTTGTTATTTGCACATCGACTCGGCCTACAGAACACAACGACTACCACCACACACTTCAAGGCACTTCGCCGTCTGCCGTCACTCGTCTGTCGCCTCTCAACACCCTCGTGTCCCTCGCTTATCTTCACTCGGATCCCTTCTGAGCTCGCCTCTCTGCTTGTTTCTGTCATCCTTCGGCTGCGGCTACGTGATTTCTCATTACCCACGTTTTCGAGTCACCCACAGCCCTGCCCCGGTCTTGAGCAAGTCGCTCAGCTCCTCGGCTGCTCAGCTTCACTCGCTCCTCGCCAAGTCCTTCGCCACCTGACCTCTCCGTTCCTTACTGACCTGACGGCCTCCCGAGACGTATATCCCATGTACCGCTGCCCTGACTGAATTCACTTGGCCGCATTGAAGAAACGAGGATACGTCTGGCGTTTCCATCGACCGCTTCCGCTCGAGTCTCCTGCCGCGTTGTTATAAGGCTTGCGGATACCTCCCTTCAGAAGGCCTTATCCTATCCTGTCCCATAGCGCGTCGGCCACGTCTGAACTTCGACTGGGTTGAAAAAGAAACCTGGTGAGTGCTCTGCTCGTCCATCCCCAGCCATAGGGTCTAGACTGCCTCGCCTCTTTGCGATCGCAATCATATCGGAGTTTGGGAGACAAATTTCATCCATGGCTCTTCACCTGTGACTTGTCACTTCAGAGTCCCAACTCTTTGCCCAATGGCTGCTGCCGACATCCCTTTTACACAAGTCAGGGGGTCGATCTTCTCGGGAGGTCAGTGACCACTTGATGATCACTTCTCTTGCCATCGTGACCTCGTTTGTCTCTGCAGTTCGGTTTTCTGTCGCAAACGCATTCGCTGAGCGTGGTCCAACATCCTGACTGACAAAACGCGTCTAGTCCTTGCACAATGGCATTGGCCGCCTCTCCATCTCTTCGCACCCTCAAATCTCGGCAGAAGGACCAAGTCCGCTTCCATGTCGACCAAAAAGGGGTAATAGAAAGCCACATCCTCCCTCAGATTCTGTTCGACGATCCCGACGATCCCAACTATCCCGTAACACAAATTGATGGCGCAGACCCAACGACATTGTCTCTCGGAGCGTCAGAATTAGCGACGGCACCAGGCCTCAAGGTTGCACAAGATCACACATCCTCCAGATCAGGTTCAGTCATCCTCGAGAAGCAGCCTGTACCCGAGATAAAGATGCCTGACAAAAAATACACCCGCCTCTTGCGTAACCTACGGTGGACTATTTTCTCCGTGTATCGCCGTCTCAACGCCCTCGCTCTGGCTGCCAATATCATCGCCATCATTGTGCTGGTTACACAGCATAGACTTCTCTCCATGTCACCAGAGTGGACTGCGACCGCTGTATCTATCAATCTGACAGTGGCTGTCCTGGTCCGACAAGAATTGATCATCAATGCTCTCTTCTGGATGTTCGGCAAATGTCCCAGGTGGTTCCCACTGCGATTTCGTCGCTTGGCGGCAAAGATCTATCATCTGGGGGGCCTACACAGCGGAGCGGGCATGGCGGCAGTCGTGTGGTTCGCCGTTTTTAATGTATCAATCGTCAGAGCCTTGCGGACTGGAGCTTTGCGTCTACACCAGAACAGCATACCCATCATCACCGTCATCCTTGACGTCCTCCTGATCTCCATCATTGCCATGGCTCATCCCGGCATACGCGCGAGGATACACAATCAGTTTGAGCTGGTTCATCGCTTTGCCGGTTGGACAGCTGTGGCTTTGTTTTGGGCCGAGTTCGGTCTCCTGGCAGATGCAAGAGTCCACGATGCCGCCTTCAGCATCCCGGCTCAACGACTAGTCCTCGAAAGCCCCATCTTCTGGACGCTTATGATTGCCACCATTTCGATTGCCTTGCCATGGGTATGGTTGAGAAAGGTCGTGGTCAACGCAGAGCCTCTGTCCGACCATGCTATACGTCTCCACTTTACCTATACAAACTTGCCTCTCTGTGCTGCTCCTCGACTGTCCGACAGCCCCCTTCTGGAATGGCATGCATTTGCTGGCATCCCAGAAGAGGACGGCCGCGGCTTCTCGGTTCTTGTATCCAAGGCTGGAGACTGGACGTCTCGGCTGATCAGGTCACCGCCTACGAAATTATGGGTCCGTGGCATTCCCACGATGGGAGTGCTGCATGTGGCCCCAATCTTCAAGAAAACGGTTTTGGTGGCCACCGGCTCGGGAATTGGTCCCATAATGTCACTGTTACATAAGAGGGACATTTCGTGCCGAATACTCTGGTCTACCCCTGATCCCGAAGTCACCTATTCGAAGCGCGTCATCGACGTTGTCCGTCGAGCTGATCCGGATGCTATCATCATCAACACAACCGTCTCTGGAAGACCCAACCTTGTAAAACAGGCCTATGAGCTGTTTGTTTCGTCCGAGGCGGAAGCTGTATTCGTCATCTCCAATCCCAGGGTCACGAGAAGAGTCGTTTATGACTTGGAGAGCCGGGGAATTCCTATTTTCGCTCCTATCTTTGACTCGTAGGACCATATCGACTACATATGATATTGGGTCCAGACAACAGCAAAAGAGCTGGAAGTCTTGCATATATGGGCGTTGATGTGTCTTCGAGACCATGTCGAGTTCTGTTTGGCGTTTCAGAGGATAGCGATGTCATTTGCGGGAGTGTTTGATTGCCACAGAATTCACCGCACCTTGAATGGTGAACGGTCGAAGGGCGCGCTTGTCGCAGTCCAAGCATTCCGGGCGTATTTTCTCGTGCTTTTTATCGTCATGATCTCGGAGGCTTGGGCTTTTCACGAACATTCGAGACTATGGGATGAGCATACATAGGCCAGGCGGAGCTGGTCCAGGAAGAGTTGGAGTTTTATGGGAGCATCGCACCTCAGTGATCTCATCGGCATCGGTAGGCGCTAGCTGGCGAACATGACATCCCACCCATATTAGAGAATTATCAGATGGCCGATGACTCCCTCCAGAGGCTTCGACAGATGAGTGATTGCGCAATGTCCCTTGCAGCTTGCGGCCAGAAGTGATGTCTAACTTGACTCTCCGGACTTGCGGGCCTTCCACAACCTCGACGTTCTCGCCTCCTCGTCCTCGAGACCCTTCCGCTGAGTTGGAACGGGACTACTAATACAACAATGTTGAACACTGGAAACATGTTTATACGTCGTTCGTTCCCTCTTCTATTGTGTAAGGGTTACATAGTAGCACGATTCCTGGAGTTGCCCAGTCGCTTGCGCCTTCAAGCTAGCTTTCTTTTGTCTCCTCCATCTCTCAAGTCGCTTCTCCAGGACCTCTGCTGTCTCTGTGGCTTATACTCTAAACATTTGACACCTCTTTCTTTGTTTGTCCTTTTCTAGAGAATATTTCGAGCGGTTCCGTCTCTCGCTAGCTCGATGTGTCTCATATCCCCAGGTGAAAATCCAGATGTGGTGCCCGAGCTATTCCATTGCAAAACGACAACTTGCACATATGCCGCAGATCATGAGACACCCCTATGCTCGGCCATGCTGGTGAGCCGCGAGAGGCTCATTTCCAATGCACCTGGTCTTGCAGAGACTCATAGACCTGGTCGAATGCCTGCCTGCGGGTCTGCCCAGTGGCCATGCGGGTCTGGCTGGCGGAGATGTTTGCTTCAGTGATCCCCGCCCCATCCCAAAGCAATCTTTTGAAAGATTGAATATCCTCCTGCGCATTGTGGTACACGGTCTCGTGGACATTTCTGCGCTTTTTGCGCGGGCCAAGCTCCTAGTCAGATGATTCTTCGTCGGACGAGTCCTCCGGCCTAATTACCACCTGAGGCCGAGGCGGTGACAGGAGCCGGCGACGTGTTTTGTTCACTTAGTACTCTCGCTACTTTCTGGTCCTTCCCCTTGGACAGTGTAGTGTCCTCCATACTTTCTGCCTCTTCCTTGCTGCCTTCAGTCGGAACCCCTCCGTTCGAGCTCTTTCGCTTCCCTGAGCAAAACGTCTGAAAGAGTTTGCTGAATGGTATCTTCCTCCTCCTCCTCCTCCTCCTTTTTCCCTTTGAGGATGGTTGAGGAACAAACAGATCAGCGGAGAAGTCTTGCTGGGTAAAGTTGGGTGTATGAGGTAGAGACTGGGAAAGTGACGAGTTCAGTGTTGGATGAAGTCCTTTTCGCGCTGACGGAAAATGGATATGCTGCCATGCGACGCCTAGAGCCATTTCTTGCTGTTGTAATAGGATCTGGTTGTTTGTTGATCCCATCCCGCATGCTGGATCGAGAGCGGACATCCCTATTTCGAGAAGCTGATCAGACCTGCGAAGGAGCGATGTACCACGGTTATCGACTCGGGAAAGTACCTGGCTGGAATGAGTGATGCTAGCAACCTGCACTTTAAACAGACAGCATAAGATTTCTTCAGCGGTCTCTGCTTGAGCTCAGACGGACCCGTCGCATTGACAACTCTCAAGGCTTTGTCCAAGGCAAATCCCGTGCCAGGTGCGGTTTACCAGCACGTATGTCGCCGTGATGATTCGGCAGAAGATCGCTAACTCGGCGAAGATGATCCGTTATACGGGTGAAAATCCGCTGGAAATGGCTCAAGTCGAGCACGTCTTTCCCGATCTGAACGCGAGAAAACCCGGAGGACGCCATCGTTGCGCAAGGTGCCGCAGGGATTGATCTCACTGGCCATGGCTACCTGAAGCGATCAATAGTGGCTGCTGATGAGCTTCTCGGATCTGAAGTTGGTGGGATAATCCCATTCGAGAGTGTGGCAGACATGGCGTTGGCGTCAGGGATTTTCTCCATTCCTGACCGCAGATTAGACAAGGTTGAGGAGTTGAACGTCAACGATGAGTTCTCATTCCGAAAGGACCAATGTGACAGATACAAAGGTTAGAATGTTACGTGCTAGGAGGAAGCACGCAATAGACCTCAAAGGGGGAGAAAATGAAGAAAGGAAATTGGTGTGCCTCGCGTGACAGGAGCTAGAAACAGACGCCAAGCGACGGCCGCAGGGAGTAGTCCAGGAGTAAAGAGGTCGTTTCCCTGGCTCTGAGACCGTGTCTTTCGCATGGAAAACATATAAAGGCGAAGGTCGACTGGACCATGGTCTGGGACTGATGTGCGGGTAGGAGTCCTTCTCACTTTCCTCAAATGTGTCGTTTCCCATCACCTGTGAGGTAGCACTATGCCCATCTTCAGGCGGGCTTCAAGATTGTTCAAGTCAGCCTTGGTGTTTTTCTGCCCCCATGCACACTGTGGAATCATTCATCTGCAAAGATCCAGCGTCCACCCTTGATCGCCTCTTGATACCGCTTCTCGACCTCGTCCCTTTGCTTCTGCCTTGCTTGCTCTTGGTTCTCTTTTTGCTCCTGTGTGGAAGGAATATCCACGTCCCAGAACCCTGGAGGCGTAGATGGTGTTTCGAAATTTGCCCTGTGTTTCCTTCCATACTCCTTGGCAAGTGAATTCGCTCTCGCCTCATGCACTAAATTCGATCTCGCCAAAGGGGTCAGTGAGCTTATCTTGTCCGCTGAACCAGGTCCAAGAAAATCACGCAAAAGGTCGTCTTCAGAAACGTTCAGATCAACGGGCAGTGTCTCTGCCAAAACTCTGAATTTGGCACCACAGCATTCAGGCCGCGTACAAATTGGCAGACACTTCCTCGCTTCCCTGTTACGGACAACCTCCTGGAACGCGTAGTCAAGGCCTCCCGTATATTTTGGGTTGACTTTGAAGTGGGAAAGGTCGAGCTGACGGAGGGGCCGGGAACGAAGCGGCTCACTCTTCTCTAATGCCTTGTTCGTAACAGGACATTTTCTCACCGCATTGGGACGAGTAGGTCCTGGCGTCGTAGGCGTGGGTGCTGTCATTAATGCCTGCAGACGTTTACGAGGCGAGATGTTTGTGGGAGCAGGCTTCTCCGGTGGATTATCTCTACCATCTCCATTGTAATCAACGCCATCTTCTGCGAGTGATGAGATAGCTTCTGCTCCTCGGTCGCTCAATCGCTTAGATTTCGGTCGTTGGATAGAGCGGCTTCCTGAAGACACATTAAGATCGATTTCTTGGAGCGCTCCTGTCTTGCCCGCGCTGTTGGCTCTCTGTCGCTTGCGAGTGGCATTTATTGGAGTTTGCTCATCACCAGACACGGCGGGAGAGGACAGATGTAGATTCTGTGAGCGTTTTCTTTCCCTGCGCAGCTGATTCTTCAAGCTGTCAATCTCTGCTTGCTTCTCTGCATCTTTTCGGAATAGTTGGTCCAGTTGGGCTGCAAGCTCTGGCCCTTCGTTCTGGTTCTGCAGACGTGCCTGACTCAGTTCCTGGATCTCGTGTTTGAGCTTCTCATTGTCGCGTTTCAGACGTTCTATGGTCCTATTGCTGTCTTCGAGCTGCCGTTGGAGTGCTTCGCTCTGCGTAAGTGCGAGGACTAGGGTTGACGTAAGCGAAAGCGTAGGCGTGGACATGGTGATTTTCGAGCAACTTTCTTCGGTAGGTGAAGTCTGAAGTCAGGCGCGCCTCTCGCGTTCGAGAATCTTTGGAAACTTCCGAGCGTCCTCGCTCTTTAGTCAGCCGGCGGGTGGAGACACAGTGACGCGATGTGGGGAAGGCACCGACCAGATCTCCATCTCTAGACGGCCAAACGGCGAAACTCTATCGACCATTCATTCATACAACCAGCCCAGGCTGCGCTCTCGAGATGCCAAAACGGAGACGGTGTGACGAGGATACCGACAAGCAACTAGCGCCTGCTAAACGAAGTCGCACTGGATCCAAGCGCAATCTGCTGGACGTCAGCGACGAGATTCTCTTGCGGATCCTGTCATTTCTCCCGATTAAGGACTTACTGAAGACTGAGTGGTGAGTCCTTCGCGGTCCCTGCTGGCTGAGCTTTCGCTAATCCATCCACTGTGTCTCACGTCGGCTTCGTTCTCTCGCTACCGATCGCGGAATCTGGAAGGCGAAATATATACAAACATGGGTGCGGCCGCGAATGCGACGGATTCCTGCTGCGGGTCCAGGGCGACCAGATGCTTCGGTTGACTGGAAAAGTCAGTTTAGAATCAAAACAAATTGGTCAAAGGGCCAGGCCAGAGTCAAGGAAGTCGAGGTCGCTCGTCCACCTGCCCCACCTGTGATTGCGAAAGTCCACCGAGGCATGATATTCACGGTCGATCGCTCAACTGGCCTCCGGGTTTGGGAGCGAGACTTGACAAGAACCTCAAGGGCTCAGATTCACCTTCATGCGCAGTCAGAAGCCACCTGTATTGCAGTGGAAACTGTCGACGACACGGTCCATATCTTGCTTGGGTTTGATGACGGATCGTTCTCTATTTACTTGTATGACCGTGAAGGTCAATTCGAGCATCGGTCAAGTCACCAGTCCGCCGATGGACCTCTAATGGCTATTTCCCTTGCCAACCCATATGTGATGACAGTCTCCAGAACGAAATTTCTAAGTCTATATCAGTGGGAATCTAAGGAAACACGAGGCGGAGATGCCACAAATATGTTTACACTTGCTCGGCTTCAATCCGATGCTTCCTTCTCGCCTATTTCAGTTGCCCTGCGGCGCACACCAACTCAACTCATTGCCACTGTCGCATACGCATTTAACAGGCTTCAGTCTGGATGGTGCATCGGGTTGCAGGAGATCCGGTTGACCACCGCCGGCAGACTTGTCGACAGCAAACTGGCGTCGACCATTGGACTTCCTATGGATCTCAGATACACAGGCCGGACCAAAGACGATATGACCACCAAATCGACAAGCTCCATGCCGTTGCCCCTGCACCCTCAACTGATGAACCCGCCAACGTCGCTTTCCTACCAGCATCCGTTCCTGATCGGTACCTTGGCAGATAATACGATCATGTCGTTCCTGGTGACTTCGAATGATGAAAAACTAGAAATTAGCTCAGGGAGACGTCTCTGGGGTCACACATCGGCAGTTTCAGGTGCAGAGGTCAACAACCGGGGCAAAGCAGTATCGATCAGCTTCCACGGAGATGAAATGCGAGTTTGGGACCTGGAACCGGTTATGACCGCCGAAACCCAACCTCGGACCAGCACTCGGATCACATCAGTCAATGCATTTTCCCGTGGCGCTGGTCTATTCGCTCGGCGAAACCCCAGCCTGGGACTTGCCTTGCGGGAGATCAGGAACGAATTGGAGCTCACTCGAAGGTGGGTTGGATTTGATGAAGAGCAGGTGGTTGTGTTGGGCGAAAGAGATCAGAAACAGATAATGGCGTTGTACGATTTTACGTAGCAGCTAGAAGGGTTGGGAATAAACAAAGATGTATACAAAAGACCTGTCACCACTGTCAGCTTGGAACCAAAACATACCTAGCACCTTAGCACTCCGTACAGCAAGACATCGAGACAGGTCGAGAAGGTATTCTCGTCGGGTGATGGACGCGTCGGCTTATCTGCTACCAGGACGAATAGACGTGAGGGAAGCCTTCCGCGTGGCTCCAGGAATGACAGGAAAGGGGTCATGAAGAACCAGACCAACGGGCGAACCAAGAGCAGCTTGCGGCTGGCGACGCTGGCAAACCTACCCGAGTTGTAGGGCCACAGGGATTTTTGAGAGCACTAATTCACAGTATCGAGTACTAATAGTGCTCCGTAGTATGACGTTGAAAACTTCGGTGTCCCATTCTGCCAATCCACTCCACTGGCCACTTTTTCTCCATCGCATTTTCTCCTCAGCTTCACTTATCCCAAACGTTCACTTCTAACCACCACCACCATAACAACAATCCTGTCGCACAGGATCCTCGCCCATCTTGTTCCTGTTGAGCTTGACCCCTGGTACGCATCCACCCACTCTGGTCCTCGTGAAAAGTTGCGTCCGCAGGAGACTGAGAACCGGTTGAAATTTCAGATTTCCTTGAAAGGAGCACGCACCAACACCATGGATCGTGGCTGCTACAACTGCGGTGACTCTTCGCACCAGGTACTCGCGACTGTTATCTTTGCTCCTGCACCCCCTTACTTTACTTCAGGCACGCGATTGCCCTAAGAAAGGCACACCAACTTGGTGAGTGGTAATCTGACCCGTTTCACAATCTCTCGCCTTTAATTCCAGGTTGACTGACATGCCAATAGCTACAACTGCGGAGGTACGTCGCACATGTCACTCCCGGTCCGCGCTCTTACTTACCCCCTTCAAAGCCGAAGGTCACGTCAGCCGAGAATGCACCGCTGCGCCTAAGCCAAAGTCTTGCTACAAATGTCAGTCCAGCCTTCGAAGGACCCCTTCTCAGACACATATATTAACTCCGCCACAGGTGGAAATGAAGGACACTTCGCGCGCGACTGCCCTCAGGCCGGTCCTCCTGGAGGTGCAGGCGGGGGTTGGAGTAGCGCCGGCGGAAACACTTACGGCGGTGGATCATCCCGAGAATGCTACCGCTGTGGAGGGCAGGGCCACATAGCGCGGTAAGACTATCGCTCTGCGGACATTGAATTGGGCATCTGCTGATTTCCTCAGTGACTGTACTTCTGGCGGTGGCGGCGGGGGGTTCGGCGGCGGCTTCAGTCGCGGTGGCGGGGGCCAAACCTGCTATGTGAGGCTCTGTCCCGGACAATGTTGAGATCAGTGCTGACCACCTCCAACCAGTCTTGCGGTGGCATCGGCCACATGTCCCGGTAATGCACGATGAATCTTGCTGCACCTTTTACCTTGCTGACTATACGCCAGTGACTGCACCCAAGGTCGGTCTCAGAAATGCTACGTATGTCTCTCTCACCTGCGACGCGCATCCGTCCACTGACATGGAATGTAGAATTGTGGCGAGCAAGGTCATCTCTCTCGCGACTGCCCATCTGAACCCAGTTCTGAACGCATCTGCTACAAATGTGAGACCACCTCCCTGGGATTGACAAATAGCTCTAATTATGCATTCCAGGCAAGCAACCCGGACACTTGCAGTCCGCTTGCCCAAATTAGTTGACTCGCACGACCATCTTGACGAACCTACCACTACTTTTCCTTTCTTATCCAACTCACGCACGAAATATGGTCCCTATGGATGGTTGACGATGTAAAATCCCGTCTCGAGCATCATGATGACATGACGACACGCATTCGAGCAAATGACAATAGGTTACGAGAGAATTTTCAATTTCCAACTTCGGCCATGGCTCAACATCCTAGGCGCACCATATGTGGTTGGTGGAAGGGCCTTTCTGAAACCGGGTGATGATGGGAAGAGATTTCGAAAAGGTCTTTGCAATGCAGGAGCAAGCGGGCGATGGAGAAAGGAGGATCTTGAATGGATTTTCGTCGGGATGAATCAGATTGCACGGAAACCAAGGTATTCAACAGACGAACCAGGCTGAGGCAAACTCGGCTTCGCTGAGGGGAAAAAAGTTTCATTCGTTCAACGGCGCAGCATGCAGTGCGGCGCTCTGACATCCAAGGATCAAGGACGCTTCGGGGTTGGCCCTAGCAAGGCGCAGACAGTCCCTGGCAGACTGAGCTCAGATCGAGGGTGTCTCGGCTTCTTCACAGAACTCTGCGACGACGCGTCTCGACAGAATCGGTATCAAATGAGAGCGGTCGCCCTTTCCTTTCAAGCTTGATTGCTTTCGTTTCCCCTTTCCCAGAGTGTTTCGTCCCAGCTGCTGCTGCTGAAGGATCGTCATCTGAACACGAGGCGGCTATCTTTCCTGAACGTGCAGATGCCTTAGAGAAGTTGGCTGCCCACTCGATCCTCGCCCAATGATTCCGCTCAACTCCTATGAGAGAGAATATCAACGCCTCCGTTCTCCGTGACTGAGCCGCTTCAGTAGTTCTCCAAGGCTTTGGGACAAGCTGACATAAACCCCCTACCTAAGTACCACTTTGCCAAAGCTTTGATCGTGGGACGGAATGTGGAATACATCATCTCGGGTTGACGATGAACAAACAACCAGGAAAATCATGCCAACAAGGGCAGTTGAGCAACGATGCCGGCAGGTCGGAGAGGCTGAGTCCGGCCCCCGACTCCCCGCCTCGTCAGTTTCAGTTACTTACGGGCTCGCTCGCTCACGGGCACTGCCACGGGCCAACTCTCCAATCACGCGCAATCGGTTCTTGGTATGGTCCGACACCTTACGCGTCCTCTGGAACGGCCAAGGAGCCCAAGGCTTCATCACCCGCTGGCTCCTGGCTCCTGATTCGTAGCCTTGTGCAGCCCGCTTCTATTTCTGGTCCTGGCTTGAGATGCGCCCCAGTCGGACATGTAAACGCACACTGACGACCCTGTCTATCCAGCCCCCTGACCAACACTGACCGACCCTTGACTTTGATATTTGGTTTGAATGGCTTCTCAATCCCTCCTCGAAGCCTTTCGGCTCTCATCCTCCTCCCTTCCTCCTCCTGCTAGGACCCTACCAAATATCCACGACATTTCCATTCGATAACACCTCGTTAATTATGGCCAGAAGCTCAATAATCGCTCTAACCACGGCGGCCTCCTTACTGGTAACGACAGCTAATGCTCAGTTTGGATACGGATGGAGAGGTGGATTCGGTGATGGCGACGGGGATGGATGTCCTCCTTGGGTGAGCGGTTGCGACGGCTCCGACGACAGCGGCGACAGCGGCGACAGTGGCAGTTCCTCCTCTTCGAACGGCATCTCTCAAGGCGCCCTTTTCTCCTCTCCGGCTGAATTCGACCGGGCGACCCGGATCCTCATCGCCCACGCTGTCCTCGCCTCGGCAGTCTGGGTTTTATTCATCCCGTCATTGGCGATCTTGCTACGCCTGAATCTCAAGAATCCCATTGTTCTCAAGATCCACGCGATCGGCCAGATTCTCAGCTACATCATCTTCATCGTCGCTGCGGGCATGGGCATCTGGCTGGCCCAGCAATCTGCCGCCTACGGCGTATGGAACGACCCTCATCCGAAGTTGGGTCTTGCAATCCTGGCCTTAGCTTTCTTTCAACCGATTGTAAGTTTCTCAACCCTCTTAGTAGTTGTGACAGAGGGAGCATCTTGAGTGGAGTCCTCTTGTGACTCACTCCCTTACAAAATCTCTTCCCCATGCTAACGGCAAACCCAGTTTGGTGCTATCCATCATTCAATCTACAAGAGGCGCGTTCAGAACGTCCAAGCAGGGAAGCCCACCAAACTGCCGGGCCGAACGGCGCCAGGGCGTGTCCATCTTTGGCTTGGCCGGCTTCTCATCGTGCTCGGCATGATCAACGGCGGTTTGGGAATCAGATTGGCATCGTTCAGCCCCTTCCAGACCGACTCCACGTCCACCAAGGCGAAGATAGCGTACAGCGTTATCGCAGCGACCATGTTCTTGCTCTACTTAGTGTTTGTGATAACATTTGAGCTCAGGAGAGCGAGGTCGAAGACCGAGGAAATGCGAAGCAGAGAGCGAGTGATTGCCAACAAGGATGGATTACCCTCGTATGACGAGAGTGAGGAATCTGTAGGGAGGCCCAGTAGGTATTCCTAAGTGAGGCGATGTTCGGGAATCACCAAAGGTTTCGGTGATCTTTCTTGGGAGGAAATAAAACATATATAGGTAGTTTACGAAAAGTGCACTCTATGTACTCCGTACATTGGATAACGAAATGACATGATAGAATGATAATTGGGACATACAAGACAAAATTGGCTCAAGTTGAAAGCTCACCAGATCCCGGGGATCAAAGCATATGGGACCTCCCTCTTGACCTTTGCCCACTGCTCGCCATACTTGTTTGCCATGTATTCATCCAAGACAGGAACCCCGCGCATGCCGAAATCCCAGAGGAACCATCCTCCGACGATGATACCCCACAGAGGACCTCCGGAAGCCATGGCATATCCTGCACGCCACATCGAATAGCCCATGTATGAGACATGGCGGACGACCGAGAACAGCCCTCCGGTGTAAATCTTCCCTTCGTTCTTTGGGTCGTTCTTGAAATTGTGGCGCTGGACTTCGGAGACAGTCTCGCTCAGCACACCGCCCACGAACAACGCCGTGCCGAAGTACACACTCCATGATGCGAAATACGCCGGGTTCTCCGCCGACACATTATACATGAGAGTATTCAAGCCATTGAAGACGGAGTTGAAGACGCTGATGGCCACTGCCGCGGCTGGGTAGACCGGTTCCCTGGCCGTGACGAGTGTCCAGAAAATGTGCTTTGCGGCCGACCCGACGGACATGGCCCAGATCACGGTCTGGTACGGTGTGAGACCTGTGGCCTGTAGAAGAGGTCCGCCCGAGACCGGTGGTCGAGGGGCAGGGAGTCCCAGCATTGATGCCAGCCGGGGAAGTGGCGAGTTCAGCAGAAGACGTCTTTGCAATAAAGGGTCAAGCGCCCGTAGTCCAATCAGGAGGGTGTTTCCAAGTAGATTGGTCCCGTAGGAGCCACGGGGGACCATGTCGAGCTTCTTCTTTTCCGCCATGCTGGGCTTGATATGCAGATAAGACGTGCTGCCTGCGAAACAGAGCGTCGAATTTGGATGTACGATCCAGACAGTACGAGATATGTGGGTAGCGAGGGGTTAGGTAGTGGACTTGGTATGGAGTACCAAGAACCTCGTATGGCGTAGTCCAAGTCGACGCCACCCCGAAGTGCCCTCCGGCGGCATTATCTCGGGCTGGTGAATGACAACCACAACGGACATCCCCCAACGAGCCAAGTCAAAGGGAAAATGTAAAAGTTATCGAATAAACTCGAAGTCTTATACAACCACCACGAGACAGCCTCCAAGATACCGAACACTCGAGCAGTAGGTGTCTCCTAATGGTCTCTAAACGGCGTGCACCCGAGACTAATTAGACGTGCTGACCTAGCAGGTCTTGTTGTAGTACGGACTACTCCGTGCTCCCGTATAGAGCACATATCAGTCACTGACATCCTCTCCTCCCTCGCTCGAGCTTACCTGCTAGTGTTTTTGACTTCGAAATGGCCGAGTCTGTTTTTGACGTAGGATTAGCCCTGGAAGGTTCCCATGTACTGGTAACGGGGTCCTCGGGAGCAATTGGATCCGTTGTCGTCAAAGCATTTCTTGCAGCGGGAGCGTATGTGTCGGCATTTGACATTATCGACCCTCGGGAACCTATCAAGCATGAGCGACTATACTTCCAAAAGGTGGATATCACCGATGAATCTGGTCTCGAGCAGGCCATGGAATCAGCCAGGGCAAAATATGGAGTATTAACGACATGTGTTTTGGCCGCGGGTCTGGATTTGTCCTACTGTCCTCATCACTCCCTCGTCGACATGCCGCTTCAAGCGTGGCAAAGGGTACTAAATGTCAATGTCGACGGCACATTTTTGACCTGTCGAGCATGGCTTCGAGGCATTAGAACATACGCAAACCCCCAGACCAAAAATATCTCTGCTATTCTTTTCGGGAGCGAGGCAGGCACCTTTGGGGTCCCACTGTGCGCACCATACGCCGCCTCCAAGTCAGCGATTCAGTATGGCCTTGTCAAGTCGCTCGCTCGCGATGCCGTCGATGTCAATCCACACTGCCGCGTTAACGCCATCGCTCCGGGCCCTGTTGCAACCGTACAATTCCAAAAGGAGTGCGCCGATGATCCATCTGCCATGTGGCGTGAAGCCCAAGCGACCGTGGCATTACATCAACCGGTCCCGATTGAGGCAGTCGCAAGAGCCTGTCTTTTCCTTTCGAGCGACAGGTTTGCTGGCAATATAACTGGACAAGTATTACCGATCGATTCTGGGAAGAGCGGTGCTCTCATGTGGCCAGATGCACAATAGGGTTGTGTTGATCTGGCATGTTACCTCTGAGGACCTCCATTTGCAGCATAGACTTGAAAAGGAAACTTTTGTTCGTTGGCATAGGCTCTAATGAAAGGAATGGATTGATCACGACTGTAAAGCTAGCCTTCTTGTATACTCTGTAGAGGAAAGCTGACTCCCTTCAGTTATTTACCCATTTAGCCTGGAAGAAGCATTTATGGAGCCTGCCCGCCGGCTCTAAAAGAGAATGTTGTGTAGTCTGACACGACGTATGGGCTCGCATTCCGATTCGAGATATTACCACGTAATCCGAAACCAGATACTGTTCTCATTGGAAATTGACTTTATTCCACGGTTGGGGCTTTTCAATCCTCCAAAGCCGCGGCATATCTCATCCGTGTAGCGGACTCTTGGCCATCCCCCGGCAATGTCCAAAAACCCGTTGGCAGGATTATCCCTTTTAGGTCAGACCGTCATTTACGTCTCCGAGATGGCCTGACAGGCGGTACGAGGTGCATGTCTCTGGCCTCCACTTCGATGATTGGCAGGTAGCAGGGCGAGACTTGTCCGAGAGATGTGCCACTGGCATGCAGGGGACGGACATGGTGGGATTGCGCAGCTAGGGCGGAACAGAAACCAACCTCTGACAGGACGAATGCTCGATAAGAAAAAGAGGCAGGTAGATAATCGGGAAGGTCGGGTAGGGTTTTGGGACTTGAAGCAGAGGTATCCTGAGCATTGAAAACACACGACGTACTTGTTGGGGGAGGTCGATGGGGACGGGAACAACGCGAACATATCGGCCCGTTGGGCCTGATTCGCATTAAGGAAAATCATCTTTGATGTAGCGTTGTTTGATGGAAGTGCAAGCGAGTTCAATACAGAGTGTGACCATTTCTTCGTGTACTTCTATAACGCTGAGGTCCCCTCCACCGCCTGTGCGCAAGCGTGCATGCAGCAGGGGTCAGCGAGGTTTTCGCCATCTCATTTTTATTTAACGACCTCACCCGAGTGTGGCGGGAAGGGCGCAGCAGGATGCAAGGTGAGGACGTATCAGACAGGATCGTGGGAATCGGGGCGATTTAGCGAAGCACATTGATGCTGGAAGCAGAATCTTCAACCAGTGGCCACTGGACAAAGGCTGGTGGGCAAAGATATGCGGCACCAATGCAGGTGTTGAAGAAAGTTTCAATGACCTGCCAGTAGGAAAGCTCCAAGAACGGGTGGGATGATGGAAAAACATGGAGAATGATGGATACGGCGAGGCGGCTGCGCAGTGCAGCGCAGTGCCCACTCAACAGCCAAGCCTCGACTAACTGGAAGGAACTAGCCCATTAGGCTCGTCACAGATTACCCTGTGGGTGGCTCTAGGCTCCCTCCACAGTGCTCTGTAACTGAGCCCTGAACAGCTCGGAGCAAGCAGGCTGCCAGCAAGCTTGGAAGGCCACCTGGAAGGGCTGGGAAGGGCTCTTGGGAGGACCGCTTTCCCGCTCGACAGGTCTCCGCCTCCACAATCCGAGTTCCGTTCTGGCTAACTCATCTACAACTCTGTTCTTTCATCACCAGCACGCCTTGCGTCTTTCCTGCTCACCATTCTGCCATTTCGGACGCATCTTTTCTGGAGTTACATTTGGCAAACTCGCCATCTTCCACCATATACCTGTTGCATCTGCTGTCCGTGCGCCTTCAGGCCTTGCTCGGTGAGCGACGATCCCACCAGCCACATCCCAAGACTCACAGACACACAAACGCCACAAGCAACACAGCGCAGCGCAGTCGGGCCCGTGACAGCGCCTCCTGCTCAAGCTCGATCTAGAGTAAACTGAAAGGCACTATTCTCCCCTCTTTCCCGCCTTTATCCGCCTTGTCTTGTGCCAATCGGGCCCGTTTAGTGGTTGCGTTGAAGCAAGAGATGGCATAGCGGTGTTGCGGTGACGGGTACAACTTGAGACCTCTGGCACCTCCCCCCCCCCCCAAAAAAATCGACAGGATGGCGTCGGCTCAAGATGATGATATGTATCTCTTCCAGACCGGCCTCGGCCAAACCCCAGCATTCGCCGGTCAAGATTTCGACGCATTTTTGGAAACCCCAGCTCCCGACGATGACCAGTCGGCATCGCATGCCGGCTTCCTCAACCCCAATGACTTGACCATAAAACGAGAGACGGACTCCTTTAGTCCGGTCCCTCCCAACGATGCGTTTGCGCGCGCGTCAAGAGGGTCTGCTTCAGGATCCAGCAGCTCATCTTCCGAGTCCCCTACAGATCACACACGCCACATGTCTGCTGCTTCGACAGCCTCCCCTTCAGCACACGACACAATTCAAAGCACTTGGGGAAGCGGGATAAACGGATTTTCAATATCATCAGGTGACCACTTATTTGAGGACACCGCCATGGCTGGCCTGGACCAAGACTTCGAGGCCAGTAACCAGCAGATGGCTTCCGATTTCGACTTTGATACGGCCGCCAGCACACCGAGCGGGTTTGACCCGACAAACAAAAACAACAATGTCAAAACTACACTAATGAGCCAGCCTTTTAAGCGACATGCCGAATTTGCCGGATTTGGAAAGCAGCCTTCAACTGCACCACTACCCAATGGGCAACCCCAGTTCTTCTTTGCCGGCTCAAGAGAAGCATCCCCCTTAAATGCGATGCTTCCCTCTGCCCAGGGGCAGTCCCCGTGGAGCAAGCACTCTCCATCATCTGGCTTGGAGGAGACCTTCAATCACATTACCATGAACGGCGATTCGCCTGGTAACGCGACATTCTCCCCTGAACTACAGTTTTCGACCGCTGGGTTCAGCTTTGAAGCGGACTCGAGTGCGACCCCTTCCACCTTTACTAAAGACATTTCTTCACCACCGTCCACGGTCAATTCGGCTGAAGGTTCCCCGATCCTGACAGTGCATCCCACCTCGCTCAAGTCCCGCGTGGAGACTCAAATACCGATCAAGATGACCCTCTCGTCACTTCCATCCGGCGTCAAGAAATTGAGACTCCCACGACATACAGTCTCCAAGCCCAAGTTTCTGGCCAAGCCAGAAGTTCCCCGATCACCAGAGATTCTGGAGCTCCATACCTCTTTAGTCTGTACAAGTGCTATGCAAGACAGTGTGAAGTTGCAGCGAGCATTGGCACGCGCTAGGGGCGAAGAACAGGCCCCTCATACTCGGTCAAGTCCTGCTTCCACCGAGTCGAGCGCCTCGAAAGATGACGAGGAAAAGCCTTTAAATGGTGGTGAGGTTCGCATTTGTGCGGGTTGCATACAACGCGAGAGGAAAAGAGCCTCCAGAAAGAAGCAGAAGAAGCCCGAGGAAGAAGAGCTCTTTCAGAGGGATGAAGAAAGGAGAGTAGTCGTTTTCAACACCAACGAAGTTAAAGAATGGGCAGAGGTTCCTCGTGAACTCGACGTCAACGAAGCCCCAAACACCACGTCTGCTTCAGGAGCGGTGCAAGTGGAGCTACCGATGCGGATAGCTTGCTACTGTCGGCATCAAAACGAGAAGATGGGTTTCCAAGTAATATTCACAATCAAGGACTGCCGAGATAAAGTCATCGCTCAGGCCATGACCAACCCCATTATGATCACTGATGACCACAAAACTCACAACCCACCAGCGGCGAATCCGAATCAGCCTCCTGCAGTGCCGACTCCCGGACCCAAATTGCCAGGAGCTGGTGTCTTCTCTAGTACTGATCAAGAGCTACAGTTTCAGGCGCAATCAGTCAATCCAAAAATGTCCCGGCAGGCTTACTCCATGACTGACCTACATGCGTTGCAGCAGAACTTCGCCCCCAATTTCCCAATGGCCCCAGCGAATACTCCATATGCCATTCCGTCGGCCGCCTCCAACCAGACAGTGGCCAACTTTACACCACGAAATCTCTCGAGGCCTGCCTCTCCCAGCGGCCCGGCAGGTCCAACTACGAAGAGAAGGAAACATAGTGGTTCTGGAAAGTTGCCCTCTGGCTTGACAATGACTCGCCTCGATACTTCGCAAGCACTACCTGGGTCTTCCACTATGCCCAATACCGCTGCCTCGTCTCCGTACGCTCCGAACATGGCATCGTTCATTGGACCAAACGATCGACCGTTCGCAGTCCCTGCTGCTCCTCGCCCTGCCCCATATGGCAACAGTCCCCCAACGCCCAATGGGGTTGATCCCTCCTTTGCCGCCAACATCAACCGCTCAATTAGTCACGAAAATCTTCCTCGGCAAGTAATGATATCGGCACCACCATCTCGTCAGCCGAGCAGGCCTGGGAGCCCAGGCTCCGCAAGGAACAGCTTCGGAGCAGCTGACGCCGCCTTTGGCCAGGCGGTCAACAATCAACTAATGGGACAGCCTGTCCGAAGGCCACCTCCACTGATTCACAAACTAGTCCCCGCTGAAGGATCTGTGACTGGAGGCACCGAAGTCACACTGCTGGGAAATGGCTTTTATCAGGGTCTGGAAGTCATGTTTGGCGACACTGAGGCGACGACCACGACGTTTTGGGGAGAAAAATGTTTGAACTGCATTGCACCTCCAGCTCTGCAGCCCGGCGTCGTACCGGTTGTATTCAAGCACGATCACCCTCAATATTCGTCAATGCCACAACAATCCCAAACGAGACCCTCCCTCTTCACTTATGTGGACGACAGAGAGCTGGAGATATTCCGCCTAGCACTACGTACTCTTGGCAAGCAGCTACAACATCCGACTGATGATCCATACTCGGCTGCCCAGCAGCTGCTGCAGGGGCAATCTCATTCTATGTGGCTCGGTCATGGCAATTATGGAATAAGCGGGGGGCATCAGCGCGTACATGGACATGTTGGAGGGGCTCCAATGGATACGCTTGAGTTAGAAGCTACGATGTTGCGGGTTCTGGAGCAGATGGACACCCAAAGGCTTTTCAGAGCCCCGAGATTCGATTTACGCCGCCCATCCGGGCTCACACTGCTCCATTTGGCAGCGTCGCTAGGCCTCACGCGGTTCGTTGCGGGATTACTCTCCCGGGGCGCCGACCCCAACATGGTCGACAACAATGGCCACACACCAATGCATCATGCTGCAATGAACGGCCACACGCATGTGATACACCGACTTCGCCTGACAGGGGCTAACCACAAAGCCCGCAGCATCCGCCAGTTCACCCCTGCTGATCTCGCAACCTCTTTACTTGCCTATCAAGCAACAATATCGCCAATTGAACATTATCGATCAAGAAGCGCTGGAGGAACACCAATGCGACTGCATAGCCGGAGCTCGTCTTCTCTTCGCTCCTTCTGGGAGAATGCATCGAATCACTACGCCACCACGGACACGGATGGGTCGGATGATTCGGATGATTTTGACGACGAGACACCAACACAAGTCTCCTCCGAGGAACCGGATCTTTCCCAGGTGCTCGGGCAGTCCAATCGGATGCAACCTGTCAGTGTTCCTCAGTCGCGAAGAGGCAGCATGCCGCCAACCACGTCTAAAGGATCTAGTTTCCCGCCGGAGAATATCCCCAATGCGACGCCGGCATTGGCTCCATCAGCGTTCATGTTAGCCTGGCGAGATCATTTGATAGCTCAACTACAACAGTTCAATGAGAACGCTCAATCAGTGATGCCTAGCCTCGCTAATCTCAATGGACCTCTTGCTGCTATACAGGAGTATCAAGCATATCCTATGATGCGCCGTGTAAGCGCGCTCTTCCCTCAGCGCTCAGGTCCTAGACAGCCACAACCTGGTCAGCGTGAGGGTTGGTGGGAGACTCTGACGGGCAGATCATCTCCTCCGGCTCCATCTTCGCCTCCCGCCTATAGCGACCTGTATCCAGAAGAGAGAGAAGGAACGGACAGAGACTGGAGCGTCAAAAAGGCATCTACGCTGCAAGCAGTAGCTGACGCAGCAGCGGATCTTCAGTTTGAGCAGCAGGCGGAGAGTGAGAGGGCTGGAACAAGCTCGACCTCTAGAAATGGTGCTGTCGTGGTGAGAAAGCCGATCGAAAAAGTTGAGCTGAGCCGTGATCGAAAATTGTTCTTCTTCTGGGTATGTCGCCAATGAGCTGATTGGTTTTCCCCACATGCTGACGCCTTGTAGATCCCACTACTCGCCATTGCTCTGGCCCTGATGATCCGGAGCTCTGGTCTTACGGATATTTTCGCGTTCTCGAATGGCCGAACACAGCATCTCGCCAATGAGGTTGTCGGTGTTTTCTAAAGCGCTTTCGTTACAGGGACGTCTTGTACGAGTCGTGAGTATACTGCAGCGGATTCTAATGTCATTCAAAAAGGAGCACGACCAACAGATGGTGGCCACGTAGTACTCGAGATATTTGTTTGTGAAATAGTTGCATTGATATACATGGAATTCTTCGAGTACAATGGAAAAGGGGTTCAATTCCCCGGGAAACATCTGGTAATTACCCGGAATATACCGCACGGGACTTGAGAAGGAGACGTAGCTTCATCCGTTGACCAGTCCTTGTTAATGAATTGGTCTGCGCCACGATTGTCTTTATCAGATAGCTCGTGTTACCCGTCCAGCCGTCGCCATTCCGTCGCCGCCAATCGGATATTAATACAGAGATCCGAACCGCTCTCGGCTAACAATACGGAATCAAAGATCGAAGTGCGCAATTTGGAGCTTGTACCTTTTGGACCATTCAAGCTTTTCCACCACGTGGACGTGCTGATTCGACGACCGCAGCTGGCGACTCCAAGTATATTGGCAACTGGCACACGACTCCATCCTCATCCTCTGTCCTCATCGACCTCGTTGCTCGAACTTGCATCCTCTATGCGTCGGTCACTGACACCTCCAACATACCAAGTTAGACCGCTCGCATCATCCGGCGCGTAGCCGGGCTCGTCATGGACCAAGCTGTGGAATACGAGAAGAGGCATGTGCACGAAGTGTACCAGGACATCGCGAGTCACTTCTCTTCTACCCGATACAAGGTTCGCACGTCGTCTAGGAACTCACCAGCGCATCCAAGTTGATCAGCATGGCAGCCTTGGCCCGTGGTCGACAAGTTCCTACGCAGTCTGCCCGCTGGGTCCGTTGGTCTGGACGTGGGTTGTGGAAACGGGAAGTACTTGACAGTGAACAATGATGTCTTCATTATTGCTTCAGACAGGTAAAGCTGATGGCTGAGAAACCAGCGCGTACCCGCTAACGTCCTCCAGGTCCAACGCCCTTGTTGAGATCGCCCGCCAACACCAACCGCATAGCACCATTGTCGCCGACATACTTAGCCTCCCTCATCCCCACGATATGTTCGATTTTGCCCTCTCCATTGCGGTCATACACCACTTGTCCTCAGGCGCGCGAAGAGTCCAGGCTATCAGAGAGATCTTGCAGACCTTGAAACCGCCTTCAAAGTCAACCGGCCCGAGCGGAGAAAAGAAAGGAGGCCGAGCATTGATATTCACCTGGGCACTGGAACAGAAAGATAGCCGACGGGGCTGGGATCGAGGCCATGAGCAGGATGTGCTTGTGCCGTGGGTTCTCAAGCCGGATGCCGCCTCCAAATCCAAGTCAGAGCCGCCAAGCTCCAATGCACCGATCTCGACAACATACCATCGATATTACCATCTGTATCGAGAAGGCGAACTGCAAGAAGATGCTATTAGTGCTGGTGCAAGGATAGTCGATTCCGGCTATGATCGAGATAATTGGTGGGTCGTCCTCACCCGAAAAGACTGAAGCATCGCAGATGGTCTCTTCGCGATCGTCGAGCCGCTGAGCACTCCCACCCATACGCACGAAATCAGAGCCCGGAAGCATGAGACTGCAGTTGGCGCTTGGACTTTCAGGTCCTGTCACACTCTCAAATGTTGCCTGCTCATCCCAATTCGGCTTGGGTGAAGCGTCACAGATCACATTATCCCTCTTTCGCAGCCGCCGGCTGCGACAGTCGGAGGTGTTGGGGTATCAAATCACTATATTACAGCTTCTTGCTGCCGATCACAGCAGGGGTACTCAAAGCAAAAGCAAAAGCAAACAACCCATCATCAAAACCCGGAATCATGTTGCCTCACTGTTCATCCGATTTATTCAAACATGCTTCGCTCAAACACGATACAACATCAGGACAATTCTTTTTTTTTTATCGAAAAGGACCATTGCGGCCTCTTGGGTGGTTGTACAGATGGCGATTGAAAGGGTCTGAGGTGTGGTAAGGTGGTGCTGAAAACGCAGGCAGCCCCGCTGTGAGTTCTGCTAGCGAAGGCAGCTGCTGAGGACCCTGTAAACCCGTCTCGGGAGGCATCGATTCTCGTCGCAAAGGGCGCGGGGGTGGTCCGCCATGCCGCAGCGGTGCTCTTGGAGGGAGGGACGAAGCTTCGATCCCGCTGTGGGCGTTGGTCAGGGAGAATGGGGTTACGCCAGCACGCTTCGCCATCTCATGCTCGCCCATCTGCCAGTGCATTGCTTCGACGGCTCTCCATGGCATCGCCATCTCCTCTGCGACTCTCGCCCACATGTCGGCTCGAAACCTTGATTCGGAGAAAATAGTCAGTGGAAACATCCGAATGGGGACAAATGACAGGGCGGGCAGAGGTGTGGTACAAGATCTTTCTGACATTGACACTGGTGACAAAAGGCGATCGGGTGCGACGTTTCTCAGCATACCTCTCGTACAACCTTGCGAGCTTATTTTTGCGATCCTCGTCCCATTCGCTCCTCCGCTCGAGGTAGTTTTGATAGTGCAGCCTACAACTGATGGCGCTGCGTCCGGGCAAGTGCTTACTGATGTCCTCCCACTTCATGCCATCCTGACGAAGCTGGATGATCTTTGCGTCTTCTTCAGGGGACCACTTGGACTGTTTCTTCGCCGGAGACTGGATTGGATGGTCCTGGGTAGCGGACAATCTTTTGGCAGGCACCGCCGGCCGCGGCTGGGGCGGTGGCAGGGGAGCCACGCTGGTGGCAACACTGGACGGCACCGACTCTGAGCGAGATACTGAGGCGGGAGAGCTGGTTGAATGGCCGTCGTCCTCGTCAGTCGGTTTGAGCAGCGACGAGATATCCACGATGAGTGATGAGATGGGATGTCGGTTTGTGAAGGACGGAGAGGGGGTTGTTGCCGGAGGTCAGTGGGCGCTGCCATACACGAGGAGAGATGGAGGACAGAAAGAAGTCGAGTAGGGATTTTGGAGACCAGGCTGAGAAAGCGAGCACAGGCGAAGACGGAGGAGGACTACTAATACCAGGAGACTGCTCGCTTCCGAAGACGGGGCGGGTTGGTTCTTTGGCGAGACCCGAGCGAAGGCGCCGGCGTTTCTAGGTTGTAGACTTCTTGCAGACAGGGTCGAGAAGGCAGACCCGGCGTGACTATGTAGGACAATGGCTTTCATTCGAAGATTCCAGGGAACAAGTCACACGACGACAGTGGGCAGTGCGGGATTAAGAGGGAATGTCGGGGGGGACACACAAAGGGCATTGTTTATGAGAAGAGATATAATATACTATGTCAGAGGGGGGCCACGGGGGGTTTATTGTTTTCGGCAAAAGATGCGGTCAAGGAGGAGCGGGTCGGTGCGGCAGCAGCCTTCCTTCGATCGCTGTTCTTTTTTGCACACACGCATTAATGTATGATTGCATTCGTGGCAGACTGGGCGGAGTGTGGGAAATATGGCCCTGAGCAGTGTAGTGTCCGGAGTTGTTGTGAGTAGTCAGTAGTTGGTGGTGAGCGTTGAGCCCCGAACAGCACCACTACCACACACCACCCACTGGTCAAATCCGTCATTCATTTCCAGGCTCTTGCTTCTGAGCGCAAGCGCACACATAGCCAGACAGACAGACAGGAGACAGAGGGACAGACACCTGCAGCTCGCCTCCATTCTCCATCTCCATATCTCTGCAGCTAGCAACTTGCAGCGGTTACGGGTGTTTCTGCACGATTCACTTCCGGCGGTCGCGACAGCTGGAGCAGCTGATATCATTGTCCCTCTCTACTATCTCTTGGACTTTGCCCTGGTTTGTTTCCGGGCTGGGCTGGGCTGGAGGAAAGGGCGGAAAGGATGGATCCAGTTCTCTAGGGGTCCCATTTCGGGTTCTGGCACTAAAATCAACATGGATGGCTGCATAAGATCGAGAAGGGTGAGGTGAGTCGTGACCATGACCGAGAGTGACCGTGACCATGCCCATGATCCCAGCACGGGACAGGTATCGTGGAGTGTGCCGGGCCCCGCCGCTCAAAGCTCAAACCTGATGGATCATGGGAGAGGCTTGCATCACGATGGAGCTTGGAGCTTGGAGCATGGAGCATGGAGGAGCATGGAGCAAGCAAGACCGGCTACGCTACCGCTAGTCGGCGGAGCAATCCATCACGGCGTCAAACTTGAACGCCCAGGAGGCGGCTTTATAACTTCTACAATGCGAACTAGAGCCTGGCTGCCTGAAAGTGGCATGGTGACATACAGGTTCGTGCCATATTCTGGGAGCGTTCGTCTGTTCTTGCCATTGGTGGGAGAAGGCTGAAAGAATCAAAGGACAGTTGTATGACGAGCATGGGAGATTTCTTCTGCCCGCTGGAGGGGACTCACAACGAGCTCGCCACTGCCAGCCTTGAAATGGGCGACTGGGGTGGCTTTTGCGCTGGTGTTATCTGCTCCAGGTCAAAAATCTCACTGCACTGACGCTCCGAGTCTCCTTGTTTCACCTCCATCCGTTCTACCACCCCGTCTCTCTCCAAGGCGCCTGGGATGGACTGACCGACCTGGCGGTTCCAATTCAGACCGACATTCGTATTTTAGTCGGGATGAAGGCGGCGCCGTGATCGGGACGGGAGGGGAGGAGGGTGGGTTCCTGGAAGAGGCTGGCTGTGACAGCAGAAGATGGGAGAGAGAGCCGAGCGACGGGCGATGGGCGGATCAAGAATGGGAAGTGCAAGTAGCAGTAATAGCAGTTCGGAGTAAGTAGCTGGGGGAACTGCGGCAGAAAGAATGCGTTGAGTCTGAGCGAAGAGACAAGAAAATCCCCGTCGCTCTCTTTCTCCCTCTCACTCCCACTTCACTTCACCGCATTGTCACCTTTTTCTCTTCAACAAACTCCGAAACGTCCCAACCCCGTCTTCAATGCAGCCATGGACAAGCAGACAGCCGTCCAAGCCATCCCGCCGCCCACCCAGCTCTTAGGCCTGCCGGGGAAGGCGGGAGAGATGGTGTTCGGATCGCACTAGGACACAGATGAGTATAGCGGAGCACCAACAAGGCGGAAAATGCTCTGCGCGGGCTGAAGCTGGAGATGATATACCACGCTGGAACAACCATTTCTCCAAATCCGCATCCGCGTGCGCATGGTTCATTGCTGTGCCATTCGACCATCTGCGCCTACGCTGTCGTGGCGGGTTGCCAGAGATTTGTCTCTTGCAGATTGCAAAGTGAAGCGGCAAAAGCCTCTCTCCCAACCCCTTCCCAGTGGCCAGAACGCTAACCGACTAGCAGGAAGTAAGCAACAACAAGGTCCACGGTACACGGTCTGCGGCTCGACCCAACGATCCACCGCGTCCACCGCGTGCCATCATTCATCCATCTAGTCGTCCAACCCATCCGTCCCATCCTATCCCATCCCCATAGCAGACACGCTCTCCACCGGCGCTCTCAGGCTCTATGCGTCGCTTGCTATGTTGCCGTAGTACTCCGTAGGGAACACAAACATAAAAAAAATTGAGATAACGTACTGGTGCGCTACGGCCAGCCCCAATGTCTCGTTCTCACGACCCAAGGAAGAAAGTGGACACCGCTACTGTGTTACGAACCGAGTCAGCGTGCCCTGGAACGATCTGGACTGGACAGGTCACACAAACACGCGCAGTGTGGAATATGCATGACTTGTAGCATGACTATGCGGGCAACAATGCGTCATTATGGTATACTTTGTCCAGAGTATAGTTTGGACAACAAGAATAGCCATCATCGCCCTCGTTCTGCCAACAACCATAGGCCTCCCAACCGAGGCGGTGAAAAGCGGTGAGTTCACCGACTATCTGCTTTGATTCTTACCCAGGGAATTCACGCACAATAACATTTGGGGATCCAGATCCAGGGGCCAAATGATCCTCCCCGCTGCATGGGAATGAATAATAGAGGCGACGGATGTTCGCTGTTGGCTGCCTTGCACCGCAACTTTCTGCTGCAGGTTCGACGGCCCAAAACCTTACAAGCTTGAGATGACAGCGCACAACCTCAGAACCTACACAGATGCAACCATAGACGCAGTACGGAGTACACAGCCAGGAGATTGGAAAGCAAGCCAGCTGAGGGCAAACACATACTTCAATACTGCTCTGGCGAGCCGCCTTTGTCAGAAGGTCAGCAGATTAGCAGGTCATGTGCCGAACAGATCCAGCATGCAAGCAGTTGGCCGTTGAATCGAAGCCAGGTCTTCCTTGTCAGCAAAGTCGGGCCTGAAAATGCCGAAGGAATGACAATACCTTTGTTTCATCACTGGCGGGGAACAGGTGTTGCACTCTTGCAGTTCGCCAATGCATCCGACACGAACTTCGTTCAGGTCCTTGCGAACTCTGAGTACGAGGCACTGCTCGGCGCATCCCCAAAGAACAGGAATTCAGGCGTATTTGACATGAAAAACAAGTCCGGAGTGTTGCTAGAACGGCGGGAGCTTTTTCTTCAGAGATGTGCGCTCTGGGCAATGCGTCAGCCATGCCCAAATGCTGGCAATTGGGTTGTGAACTTCCAACCCACTCCCCCCTGCCTCCACCACAGCTGGAGCTGCGAAGGAGGATGTTTCGATCAACCCCTGGCTTTCCACCTGGGCGACCCGCAGGCCCCATGTTCACGAAGGCCCCCCAGTGTTTACCGTTCGTCTGTTTTAACTTTGGGTCCTCGACCGTCACTCGTCCTGAATCGATTGGGGGTGCTGGTGTCTTTTGTCAGTTTTGTCTGCCCAACATCGACCGGCGCCTCGTTACATTCACGATTGGACCGTCCTGTCGGGAATTCTAGAAACGCACCACTCGGCGCCACCCCGCCCAGCGTCCCACCGCCCTCCTAGTCTGGATTGGGATCCATACTTCAGTAATAGTTGCTCACGTCGGTCAATAATGTCCAAGAACGAGTCGAGCGCATCCCGAAACGAGACAGGAAAGCAGAGGATAGGACTCCCATCGCGGGCAAAGGATTGGAGCCCTCATCTTGCTAGCGTCACCTTCTTTCCAGTTGGTTATTTTCGCTTCTTTCCTTAGTTTCTTCGCCAGGGAGAGCCCGAAGTTCGAGAGTGGAACAGGGCAACAGCCTCGCTGCCTCCATCATCATTCATCGCTCCCGATGCAAGCCCGCTGTCCAAGGCTGGTACAAGTGCCAATCTGGCCCCTATCTGAGCCTCCCGGTCACTCTGGTGCTCCGTCTTGGTAAGTATCACGCCCATCATCCACGGCAGGGGACATTTGCTGTCTCCTATTGGGATCTCAAAGCCCTTACAAGTCTTTGCACGTCCTTGGCCTAGCCTCTCCTGGCAGGGTCCTGCCATTTTCGTCAGCAATGTGCCCTCGAGGCCCTCGGGCGGATTCCGATTTGCTGCCACATTCAATTGTGTGCCTCATACCGGCCACGAAGGACAACGGTTCGTTGTATTTTTTGGTCGCATTGCGCATCCGCAATAGCCTCACCCTTCAGCGCCAAAGCAATGACAACTCAGAGCCTTAGAGAAGCGGACCAATCTCCTTCGCATCCCTCTGTTTGTCATCCTCCGCAGACTCTTACATGGCTTTCCTGAAATGATTGCAGATCCCAGTCCTCAGGTCTGCAAGCCACGTCAAAAGAGTACTAATGAGCGCCCGTCTGAAATTACAGAGGATTTGTTTGGGACGGATGCCCATGTCCGAGGGGAAAGGTAGGGACATGCCATTTATCTCTTTTGTGTGCATTGGTGATAATGTCGATGCTGGTTATCGTGTTACAGCCTGCCAACTCGATGCAAATAGATACATCGCACGGGACTGACTAACTGGTCATCTCGCTCAAGCTGTAAATTTGAAGGCCTTCGTTTCTGGACTTCTGGGTCAGAGACTGCCTACGATACTAACAAGATCGGTTCTCCTTGTTTTTGAAAGCATTGATCGTCTATGTCTGGTTTAGCCAATGATCTATGTCCACAACAACAGACACTTCACCATTGTCAAGCACCTTTTACTCATGTACATCAATCTACAGCATGTTTTCCAGTGCCAGACTACCCTTTTCTCCTTTGCACAGGCTCGCTGCCGAGTCTAAGCAGCTGTCAAGCCCACACTATCACAGTGGTTGCAATGTTACGCAAAACCCGTGCGACTAGCCGCTGACGGCGGAGAGCCGCAGGAAAATGATAGCTCCGTTCGACAGATGTACTCGTACCTCATGATCACCATGTTTTTCAGAGAGGCGAGCAGAGAGAAGTGTGGCCAGGCGTGTTTTGCTCCGCTTAGCCAGGCCAGCATTCCACCTCTGTCGAGTCTCCACACAGTAGGTTGTATGGATGATTATTTTTCTGCTCCAGCTGTCGTGGACTGAGACAAGTCCGGGGCTTGTCTGGTGGCGCTGGCTTTTCGGTGCCTACCTGTGTCTTGGGTTGATCGACTCCTGCCAGGGAGGTTTGCTTACCGGTATGCCCGTCAAGAGCATCTCTACATTGATGGGCCTTTGATGAGTGATTTCTTGCGATTAAAGCCAGGGAACTGAAGCGAGGCTCGGGGCCAAGAATTCTGCTTTTTTTTTTTTTTTTCCTTCCGCCCAAATGCTCAGGCTGACCAACTCTCCCGCGAACACGGAGTACGTCTTTGGGGGGTTGCACCCAGAAGGGTCTACTGTTGAACAAAATCCCACAGGATTTCCACAATATGTTTTTGACAAAGGACCAATTTCAAGCACATGCCCACACTAGCAATACAAGGCGCGAAAGGGGCATTCCTTGGGGTTCAAACCTTCTAATATCATTTCTGACTAAATCTCTTTGCTCTTTCGACAACAAACATGGTTGATCAATTGGTGAAGTTTGAACTAGAGCTATACTCGGAGTCCTCTGAAGTCGAAAACTCAAAGAAGCTGGCCGTCCAAGTCCTGCCGGGAAGTGCTGCTTTCGGTCTTTTTGGGTTGAAGGGACAGACAATTGGCGGGTAACTCTCCTACGTCTGCAAGGTACAGACTCCACGAAGTCATAACAACGTAGACAGCTCTCTACAATGAAAAGTCTTGCACAACCATGCCGGTGCTCTAGGTCGGTCTTTCCTCTCTACCCAATCTACCGGTACCAATTATTCTGTATAGCTCCCAGCTACCCTCTACTGTGAGAAAGAGAGAGACGTTAGAGAGCCCGTAGAGAGGATGAGGCCGAGGGATTTCGTCAGTTGCCTGTCACACAATTGCCCAGGGATTCTGTATTATTGTTATTTTTCTTTTTCGGTGTGTGTTTGTAGTATGGCACAATAGACGAGATGTCCAGCTTCGTTGTAGATTTGACAACTCGAGAGGTTTGAAAGAGGATCGACCCAAGTGTACGGAGGACTCGCTGCCAGGAAGAGCATGCATGTGGTCTGTACATAAGTGCCGAGTACTCGGCACGGAGTGCTCTTCCTCCCTTCACGGCCCACGGCTTGAGGTTTCCTAGTTTTAAGGGCGTCTACGGCGAGGAGACGAATGGTGTAGGTAGAATGATACGACATGATTTGACATGGCGATGGTGGTGTTTATAAGGGTTGTAGCAAAAACCACAAACTGCTTCCCCTCCTCCAGGCAAATTGTAGGCGTAGCCCAGGGCTCTCTTGGACATAGTCACTCAGTTTTCTTCCTTTGATAGCGCCTGGAAGTGTACCTGTGCTAAACAACACCGAACGAGGCTTTTCAGTGTCATTAAGTGCCGCTTCATAATTAGTGACTGGATGATCTGTTTGGACTTTGGACTTGGATGACCGCCTATTTAAACCATATCGCTTCTCAGGCTTGAAAAGAGTGCATTTCAACACTTCATCAAACGCATTACCTAGCATCGTCTCCATCCAGGTAGACTTTTTTGCCTCCGTTGTGCCATTCGTGTCTGTGGCGTGGTCTTGCCTTTCTCGGTGTCTCTTCGATTTGCGCTTCTCCTTTTGCCCCATTCCCCGTCGCTCGAATCCACTTGGGCACAGACGTCCTCGTCAACGGTTTCACCTTGGCAATTCGAGGCGGACTCCCCAAACGTTTCTTCCGTTTGCTCCTGCAGGTAAGGGTCAAATTTGCCGTCCCGCCTCTCCTGCATGGCTTTCCTGGCTTGGTTCTGCCAACTCCGTTCGTAGCATCCCTCGCTGACGTCCCGCTTGAATTTGTGTACAGCGGCCTTGATGTAGGGATCGTCGAGCACAAATTCAACTGAGAGTGGGCATTTCAAGCGGCCCTCGGCATCGAGTTCGTATTTTCGATACCGGGGTGGAAGACTGTCAATGATGGAGCGTTTTTCGTGCTCAGTGTAGGCGTCGCTGTCGGCATTCCAACTTGAGACAGCCGCTATTATAAATCCGTGCATGTCTGCTGTGATGATTGGCGACGAAGAGTTTAGGATTCGAAGCGAAGACCAAGGCCCTGTGTTTCGCTTCGGCCTTCTTGCAAGAGGCATCTCGGCGTATTTCTTGCAGGCGCTTCCAGTAGCAAGGTCGATGGTGACAGACTTCTTGATCTCGGGACGACCGGGGAGACTGAAGAGTTGAAAGGCTAAGTAGAAAGGAGGGCAGGATGAGGGACAAAACGAGTTGACTTGTGTCACAAGCAGTTACGATCTTCACAACGGTGTGGTGGACTAAGTGGGATGGTCTGTTGCGGAAAGCCACGGTTTTATACTGGTAGACTTCGGACTTGGCCTGTTTCTCCTACGTAGTAAGACTAACAGGTACTGAACGGGTCTGGATGGCGGAACAAACATAAAGCCAATTTTGTGGCGAGAACTACCAGGGAGCCATGCAGTTGGCAAGGTTAGCATGCTATGTCAGCCTCGTCATCGTTTGTCCCACGGAAGGAAGCCTTGTCATACGAGGGGACATTTCGTACTGGCATTGAGAAATTGTCCACCCGGCGATGCAGAGGCTCAATCGCCTCTAGCCTAGCTCTTTATCTGGGGCGGTATATATCTATGATGTAGCTGCTAGCACGTACATACAATTAGAGTGTACATGCTTCTCTTGGTGAGTTCAATCGTCCAGAACATTGTCCACTGCCAGCGTCTGGAGGTTGTGACAATGTGATGCCGAGGCTGACGAGACGGACCGGACGGACTCTCCATCTCACCTGATATAGTCACGTGACTAAAATTGGTGGGTTGGCATTCGGCGACCAACTCGGCTCTCTATCAATCCCACCTCCATCATCCATCATCCATCATCCCAACGACAACAAGGTTCTGTTTCGCTTCCACTCTGTCATCTCTGCGACAAGGCGCCGCTGAATGTAGTCCACGGCTGCCCTCCGCCCCTCCCCCCGCCTATGCGCGCCTGCGTGATCGCACCATGGCCTCTGCAGCGACGTCAGCGTTGCGCCGAACCATCCACGCGACCATTCACTCCCTTTCCAGCGCATCCGCCGACTTGACCAAAACGGCCATCAACCTTCCCTCCACCTACTCCAACTATGTTACATCGAACTCCTCCTCGGTCTCCACCATCGAGAGCAGTCTGCGGTCATTGACGTACCTCCTTCCCGGCGCCCGATTCCATGACACCGAATTGGCCTCGGAATCAGTACATACTTTCGTTCAACTCTTATCCATTTATCACGATCATCTCCTCAAGAATCGTGCCGCGGCTTTGGCGCTCACACCCACCGTCCTCAAAGTAAAGAACCTCAGACTTCAGAAGCCGAAGCCATCACTACATGCTCGCTACACCACCTTCTGGACATCGTCCTCGTCGCTATATAATAAGATTGCTACGGTTTTGAAGATTGCGCAATACACCGAACTGCTATGGGAGATGATTGCCAGGCGCCGAGGCGGCGAAAAGGCGAAGTGGCGTGTGGTGGTGATGCTTGAATCTTTCAAGGCCATCTGTCGGTTGTTGTTGATGCGCCTCACCAGCTTGCGTCCAACGGTCACCCCGCCTATGCCCCTGAGAGAAGACTTTGCGCCGGTCGAACCGGAAGAACAAGATGAAGAGTTCACCGAGGATGAATTGAAGTTGGACAGTTTTGATGTCAAAGACGCATTGGGCGATGCTGGCGTTCCGACACCACCCCTCTCCGACTCCGGAAAACAAGCTCCATCATCCTTGACTACCACAGAACCGTATAGTATGCCTCGCACAGGATTTACCCTCCCAACTCTACCCTCTCCCGACGCCGTTTCAGCTTATCTCCTCAACCATGTACTTACAGCCGACGATGTTAAACCGGCCAAGCAACTGCTCCACCAACTGACCACTCTGCGTGGCCAGGCCGCTGAGATCATGTACATCTTACGGCCCTTGATCTACGCCCTGCTCATGCAACGTATTGCTCGTACCTACGGCTACGAAGGGAGCAAATGGAAGCGAAACTGGACACCATGGTTTGTGGGAGTTTCAATTGAATACCTTGCACGCCAACTGGCAAAGAGGGATCTGGCAGCAAGAATTCCGGGCGGTGCACGAACCGGTCTCTCCGCATTGGAGCGCGACGAGTTACAGAAGCGCGGCTGGCAGCTCGCGTGGTGGGGGATGCGAGGCGCATTTTACGAGAACATTACGAAAGTTTGGGTACATGGTGCTGCGGCCTCGTTGAGAGGGAAACCGATACTGGACCTGCTTGGAGGAATCATCGAGGAATATGAGTTCCTGTGGAGCAATTACTATTTCAGCACGTCGACGATGTGAGCCTACATTTGCTTATCGCCACAACCATTGAAAGTGCGCCAGATTTGAGTTTCGGGACCCCTATGCAGCATCGACTGGGTGAAATTGTTGAAGGGGCTGTATATCTAGAATGTCGACGTTTTATGACAGCCATCGGTGGGATGAACCGGAGTCGCAGTTTCTTGTTGAAGATCAGACTCGATTGTGTTCAGCGCACACCTTTGGAGCCTGGTACTCTTGATTGCTTTTCATTCGACCCTCAAGTATTGGAGTTTTTGGATTGATACATTATATAGCACACTAGATGAGGACACGAAGTCACTTTTTCTTTTCTCTTCCGGTGGTGCCTCTGTTTGAAGGAGCTCTGGAGTTCTGTTCACTTGGGATATAGGATGAACTTCAGGAAGCCCATTCCCTCAGACCCTCGGACAGTTTTTTTCTAGGGTGCTCATGGTGGCTTTGACATCCTGGTGTCTTCACCTAACGGCCAGGACGAAATCAATGCCCCGAGTCTTCGAAATCAATCTGTTCTTCGTCCGCCGAACCCTTTTTCACTGCTCAGCCTTTCCTTCACCTAAATGGGAAGCGTTGAATTTCAATCTCTTAACCGTCTCAACAACACGATTCAATGTCCTACTGACGGCTGCCTCAATTCCCTCGGGACACTGAAGGTTCCTAGATACCAGTTCGAAGATGTTCTCAATTCGGCCCTCTAAACGGCAAAAGCTCCAGCATTCCGGTCCGATATCAAATCCTATCTACGTCTCCGACGACAAATCCGAATCCGAACCCGGCGATCTCGGCTCACTCAGACCCGATGCAGACTCTCTTAACCACTTTCTGTCCAGCCTCGACAACCTTAACCGTGATGACTACCTAGCGACGCTGATGGGGGATGTGAAGATTGTTGAATCCCGTCTTGATATCTCCAGGGCCAAGGTGGAAGACCATTCCAGAAATCCAACGGCTTTGCAGCGGGAAATTTGGTACGCCAAGCAATTTTCCGACATAGTCAAGGCTGGCGCGGAAGGACACGATTCAAAAGTACCAGTGGAGAGTTCATCCCATGAGCAAACACCGAGCTCGCCGTACGAGAAAGACCGCCAGCTCACCGTGTGGGTTTTTCTCTTGGGCAGATCGAGCGATTGCTGCATACTCAAGGGCCGGCCCTGTGCGTATGCTCGTAAGTTAGGCAAAGCACTAAGTCGATGGGCCGACGCGCTCTAAATAAACTCTCTGCTCTGTGGGAGTCGTTGTGGGACTTTTACGATGTGGTGACCAAGCCGGGACCATGTTCATTTGCAGCGAAAACAGAAAACCGTGGGACAGCGAGTATGGATTGTTATTTGGGAAGGAACTGTTCAAGATTGAAGCCGCTGCATGGACTGCAGAGAGAAAAGCGAACAAGATTGAGGATGCGATGCGAGGATGATTGAGGAAGCATGTGCTTTTGTAAGAACGAACTGAAACACCGAGAAAAGCCAGAGGGAATGGCAGAGCAGATGCTTATTGCTGTGATTGTTGGGATATTGCCTCGAGCTTTTGACTGAGGGCTCAAATAGAAGCTTCGGAGATGGAATTGTGGTTGCACTCTGAAAGCATGCATCTATCAGAGAGTCTTCTCAGCGTTGGAGCTGGAGGAAACGAAGATGGACTTGGCTGTGGCTACCTCCATTAATTTTAAGACCACAACAGTGCGTCTGGAGGGGTTCGCTCGGATGGACGCATCAGAGAAATATGGTTGGCGGTGATGGGATTCGTCTATTGATATTACCGAGTGTGAATCGGGAATATGCATCTTCAAGACTAGCCTGATACTGTACCATGACTGGTTGCCGCTTTACCGAGTACTCTGTACAAGTTCACCTAACTAACAAGTACTACCCAGTACGAGGTACCGAGTACCGAATCCCAGGGTATCTCGTCACTGCGCGTACTTGGTAGTGCCTTCGGCGCCCATGTTGCCCTTGTCTCAGTCCTCAGACCCGATATCGGGGCTACGCCCTGATTGGCTGGGCTATGAGCTAAAGCGCCGGCCAATCACAAAATTCAAAGAATGTTGCGACAAACGACAAACAGTGGCCCCGCCCACTTATGGCAACTGAGCCGATGGGTCTGAGAACTGAGACAAGTTGCCCGCCGCTTTAGTTATCCTCGGCTCACATTCCTGATTTATCTGCCTCCGCGAGGTACTGCTCGCTGGGTACATCGTTCTCTTTGGTACAATTCAAATACCTTGTACCTCACTAAAACTATCAGCTCTTCAATCTAGATGATGGATCTATTTCGTATGCTATAAGCAAGGCACGCTGATAAGAGAGACTTAACTACCGTTTCACCGTCTATGATCCAAATGTGAAGTTGACTGGTTGTGCGACTGTTAGGATGAGGTAGGACTCGATATTGGGATCAGGATTGTCCCACAAGCCGAGACGGGCACGACCAGCAAGTACCGAGTGAAACCGCGGCACCGATGGAACGATCTGCAATTGGCTAGTGGTGAATAGGTAAGCATGCCAGGGTTCATGTCATGCCGCAAACGCAGGCACCACAAGCACCACAGGCAGCCGCCAGCCTGACGACTTAGCTGTGCTCATCAAGGAGTTCTCCGAATCTCGCGCGAGGCGAAATGTCATATCCGACGACTATCCAACAGCAGCGTGATCCTGTGGCGAAACCAGGCTGCAAAATGCTACTACGCCAGGTACTTAAATACTGCATGGCCCCTAATGTACCGGGTACGTGTTTGTGTATCTTTTCAGCTTCGAGACATTCTCTTGTATCCCACGATCTTTGCACCAACACTCGATCATGCCGAACCAGTCATTACTCGTGCCACCTCGCGAGGCTACCAGCGAGGCCAGCGAAGCCAGCAGGGCCCCCGACGAGACCAGTCCACTTCTCGAGCAACCTCGAGGTCCTACAACCCCCGAGACATGGGCATCGCTAGGCCAAAGATGGCAAATCACAGTGCAGTCTTCGCTTGGCCTCCCTTCCCACCTATGGTTTCCCGCCTCCATCTTCCTGCTTGGGTTCGTAGCCTAACCTAACCCATCGTGGCGGGGTCTTCTGACTCTCCGATACTAACAAATGGACACAGCATAGCAGCAGACTACTGCGAGGGGGCTTTCTTTACCGCTGCGTACACAAAAATTAGTATGCACCATGAGAAAACGAAATATGACTCCAATAAACCGAATCTGTTGACCATATTCAAGGCTCGGAATTTCAAGAAGAATACAACGGCGCCCTGCTCAAGATATGCTACAGCACCGCCACAGCCGTAATGCGGCCATTGGTGAGATACATACCAGATCTACCCTTGTCACACCGGCCGCTGAGATTTGAGCAGTGGTCGATTCTGTCGAACCATCTGGACTGGCATTGGCCGCTGGTTGCGACATTTGTCTTCTTCATTTGTGGCATGGCGTATGGGTCTGTTCATCCCGCCTCTGCCAGAGTACTATGACTCCTCCGACGATGCTGATACATTTCCCCTTCAGCTCCGTCGGCACCAGCATGACTGACATCATGATTGCCCGAGCTGTCACCGCCATAGGCGCCTCTGGCATGGTCTTCATCCCCAACCTTGTGTTCAACGGTAAGTGGCTATTCGAGAGCTTCTCTTCCTGTGGTATTAATTAGCATCAGCATTTGTTGCCCCGGGCAAACTGTCATGGTGGATATTTTTCCAGGCACCAGTGAATCTTCTAGGCCAGTTCATCGGCAGTCGTCTTGCCAAGTTCGATCTTGACGACGGCTCTAGCTTACGCTTGTAAGTCGGTGATGCACGCTCACGAGCATGCTAGGCGCAGCTATTCGTCTCGGGTGCTAAAGGTACCTTAGCGTGTACCGGCTACAGATATGCATACCCATGTTCTGTGCTGTTACCATCATAGCATGGGTTTTTTTTATCCGACCATTATCCAGCACAGAAGCAGGCGCCCCGACCTTTGAGAGCCCAGATCCTTCAGAATATGTGAGCTCTTATCCGCCAAAGAGACATAGCCCCTCCGCAGCGGCAACATTTTGTGTAATTTGCTTGGTGATAGCAGTAGCTGGACTTTGTGTGGCTGTCAATCTACTCGGTGAGCTTCCGGAGCGCATCTCCATCATCTATTGGTTCCTCCAGCTGTTCATGATCTTGGGCGGCTCTAGTGGCTTTCTCTATCTCCAACGTAGCCTTACGCCAGCGGACAATCTATTTCCCATCGCTCTTGTGAAGAGTGTGCAACTCGACGTCGTAGGCATCTTTCTGGCGACTTTTATCAAGGATGGAGGTATCTCAAATGTACGAAAAGCCCCTTTGCATTCATTTGCCCCTTGGGTTGGAACTTACAAAGTTTTCGGAAGTTTTTCTTCCTGGTTCCGTGGTTCTGCCAAAACGCCCTGATCGCAAATACATGGGTTCTTCGGCTCTTGTGGATAGGTATACCCGTGGGAACAGGTATTACTGCCGTTTGCTTCGAAACGCTCAAAAGGGTCAAGCCAGTGCTGTCCCTCAGTGCGCTGATATGCATCTGTTCGTCAGTTGGCTTGTCCATATATATGGATTGCATGAGTGAGAAATGTCCTGCGCTTCGGAATCACTCCTGCAGTGGATACTAACGCATCGCGCGCATGTGTAGGCGAAAATCCGACGAGTCCAGCGATCTTTGTTTCCTGGATCTTCAGCGGGATCTTGGGCGTCGGCTATGGGATGATGGGAAACGCCCTTCATAATGGTTTGATAGCGGCCCTCAAGTCCAATCGCGAGCGTGAGTTAAGACTCTCTTTGCGCCGGAGGCTACCTCTCGATCCAGCTGCCTGTCATCTAATATCTAACGCCCCTGCCCGCTTCCACAGGCCAAGCAATGCTCTACGCTGGCTTCCATCTGATGTCCACACTTGGAGATTTGGTAGCCACGGCAATATCCAACTGGGCCCTCCGCCTGAGGGCATCGACGCTCATTAGAAGGAATTTGCGTTCGATGTTGGATCCAAAACACGTTGAAGAGGTATATATATCCTCTCTTTCCGTTTCTCTTCTTTTAATGACACCCCTCGCACGGCTTGCGCCGCACTAAGGCCCAATCCTCCGTCCCTCAGGCTTTTCTTTCTTCTTGCTAATGCGACTGGGGCAGATCGTTCAGCACTGCCTCAAGACTGACAATTGCACTGCAAAGCTACCCTCAGAAGCACGGGATGCGGTTCGAAAGTCGTTTCTGAAAGCCTCGGCGTCGGTGTCAATCATCCAGGTCACGGCCTACCTGTCCCTGGGATTTATAGTGTGGTGGGTGATTTCTGATGTTCACCTGCAAGACACCAGCAGTTCCGAAGAAAACAGCCATCGCGAGCCTATGGATTGACACTATGAACAACTTTGGGCACCGATCCAGTTGCGTCCGAGCACGCCTGAATACACACAGACTGCGGTAGTAGGTTAATTATGAACGATTGAAATATATACAGGGTGCACTGAAGCCACCTTAACGTTGAGCTACCTCTGACTTCTGCGGCCGGTAAACGCGACCGACCAAGCAATAGTTCTATATGACTGGTTCCCTCTTGATGTGCTGATGTGCTGATGTGCTGCGTGCTGATGGTACAATTGTCTGGGATTTGCACCTGCGAGATTCTTCCCTAGCTATGATGTCCTCTCGACAGTCTGCCCGCACGTGGAGTATTAGTATGTCGAGCCTGTGGACATGTCAAACTGCTTTACCCAAGACAGATCGACCCAGGTCCACAAAACCCAGGAAGATATAATGGCCGTGCAAGACCGTGGCCGGCTTAAAACCTTGTGCTATTACTTTGGTCGCTTTTGACCTCGATCTTCTTTGGGTTCTGGTCGACGGGATAAGTGCCCACTGTATCTCTCGCTCTTTGCCGCCGGGCGTTGGGGTGGCCTCTGCAGAGCCTCGTCTTCAGGGGACATGCTTCGTCGACTGTCGCGATACGTCCGATCTTGCCGTCGGGGACCAGTCGAACCGGACGTGACTTGTAGTCTGCTTCCCGCTCCCCCTGGATCTACATCCGCGTCTGGAACTGATATGGCAGAGTCGGCTCTTTCACGAAGAGGATATTTCGTCGGCACACTGCTGATGGCCACATCCTTTGGAGGGCCTGCAGGACCAGGGAAGATGGGGTTAGCTCTGGTTATCGGATTCGCGGTATACGACGTAAAGGAAGGGGTACCGTAACTGGCGCTAGTGGTCGGAGGGCTTGAGGCAAGGTTGTCGCTGGGGAAACGGTACAAGGCGGCCCTATAACTAGAATTAGGAGGCCTAGAATATGATGGAATCCGACCATGGCCGTCGTCGCTGCGGGTCGAACTATTCTTCTCATAAAGGGTTGCATCCCGCTCAGGGGAGCTTGACTGATCTGTGCTAATTCCAGCGCTCTCCATCCGTCTTTTGGCAACTTCGGAGTCCCCGTATAGCAGCTCTAGCGCCTCCGTCAGTATGTCAATGTCCACGTCAGAAGGCTATACGGAGTATACCATCGTTCGTTGATATTGCCTCCCGTGTCCATGCACGAGAATCATTGTGAATGTTTTGCTGGTCTATCTGATGGCTAACTTAGCTGTGCATGAAGAGGTACCAGTAGAACAGAAGTTGCACATACTGGTGATATTGAATCTATACCGTAGATGATGTACTCGTCGGGTTTTTCCTTTTAGATATCAGCCTGAAGAGTATTAAGGGGTCGAAATCCGTACATCGATGTGCACAACCTTGTGGAGAATCGAGTTGAGGTAAAATTCAAGCACCTCTTTCTCGATGAGTCCTTTCTTCAGTGTGCAGTTCTTCGCCGTGATCTTCGCCCCGTGGAATATTTGGCCAGAAAATGGTGTCAAAATGGGTGCGCCCTCCTCGCGTTGTTCGCAACTTCGGACGTGGGCCACGTATTCTTCTCTGGTCGGCGCATTGCCACCCCTGACCAATGACCCGGGTATAAAGCGGTGTCGCTCCTTATCATAGTATCCGAACCCGCAAGGACAGGTTATTTCGAGGAGGGGGTTATTTTCGTCGAAGACTCCACCGCAACTTGACTGACAAACGGGCTTGGGGGGAGCTGGCTTTGGCCTCGGCCCTGCGCGGTTGCGGGCAGGGTCCATTCGAACTCTCACACCGGGGTAGACTAGGGTCTCCCCGAGAGCTAAAGAGAGAAAAGCCGAAAAGAGGCCAGGAGCATTCTCAGACAGCAGGCATTTATAGGATCTTCGAGATGGCGAACAATGACGGTACGCTCAGTATAGCTACTGCTGAGGAGTATTGCGCCAAAGGCAATTTGTTTTGCGGCTGCGACCCTTTTCTGTCCAGCAGTGGCCAAATCCCTTGCACGATCAAGGCGCTTCGCGGCACAATTCCCGCGATGTTGAGGCTGATTGCGGAGGCGAGGACCAGTGACCATCAGATTGGCTGAGAGTCGTTGGGCACACATGCATACCCGTCTCCTCGGGTCAATGCGCCTCGCTGTCCAAGATGGTGCTTCTAACCGGTCTGCTGCAGCGCAAGACTTCATTTGACGACGAGCTGCAGTCATGCTGCGTGCGGCGCGTGACACCTCCACGGTGGCTTCCAGGGGGTGCTAAGGTCACAGCCATGACAGCAGACAGCGGACACGGTGCGGGCTGGCCTCGAGACAGAGCAATTGGAGCGTCTCAGGAGAGCGCCTGCGGCCAGCATTGAAGTGAGGCGTGAGGCAGTCGGTGATCTGACGTCGAGGGTCGACTGGGCATAACTGGGGCAGATTCCCCGGACATCAATCATTTAAATGATGTGGCAGAGACAGCGAGACTGAGATTGACCGGCTGCTTTGTTTGATTTGCTTTGAATGTGTGACCGAGGCTGTGATCCAGACCAGACGGTTTCAGGATGGAAGACGGAGGACCCATGCCAAAGGTGGTCACGCAAGCCTGGATCACCGCTGCCGCAGTACAGTAGCCCCGAGGACCCTCCCTTGAGCCTCTCCCGCTTCCTCCCGGCTGGTGAGGCCTCAGTAGCCACCCCGCTGCAAGCGCAGCCTGAGCTGCAAAAGGCTCTGGCGCTAGGCTGAAACGGGATTCCAATTCAACGCTCTATCTCGAAGAATTCCTGTACTAATAGCTCGCCTGTAACTGCAGATTTACCTTCGGGCAACAAATGACGACAAGAAACGCCAGCGCTGCTCTACGCTATTCGACTCGCAGCTTCACCGCCCTGCTGCAATACTGCTAGAGGAAGCGAAGGTGTTGAACACGCAGCGCTACGAAGCTACCCCCAAGCTTCAGAGGAGGCTGGAGCGAGGCCTGCAGATCATAAATAATCACGCTGTCGTGGGCGACGTCTTTTTCCAGAATTCAGGGCAGCCGGTATCCTGTGCCTGGGGATCATTCCGTCTTCTTCTTCGTGTAAGGGTGTTTGAATGCCTGCCAACGTCTCGTGGCACTGACCACATGAAAAGCTTGGAACAGGTGATCTCGACACCTTTCAAGATTTCGCTCGCAATATCATCGACATCGACCACCAGATTGGAAACGCCGAGGAGAGACTCGACCTTTTTCCGACGAATGCTCGTGTATTCGATGCCGCAGCTGGCCTGTTCGCTTCCATCTTATGTTACCTGGTCCAAGCAGAATCCTATTTGAAAGCGACCAAGCCCGTGCGAGCTGCTAAAGCTGCGTGTGGGGGGAGTGTAAAGCTGAACAGGATGATTGATGAAATGCAGCAGAACGTGAATTGGCTCGATAGAGAGTTTGCTCTCGCCGTTGAAATCCGTTAGTGCCATCCCTGTTGTGAAACACTTCCCTTTTACCCTGACCATGTCTCGGGATCACAAAGACATCTCACGGTTTGGGTCGACGTGGTACTAACCATCTGCTATGCTAGGCAACCGGAGGAGCGAGCTAGTGAGCCTGCTGCTCGACAGTCTATCCCCAGAGATTCAATCAGAGCTGCTGCCACTTCAGCCCGTGGAGCCTACTCAAGGAACCTGTGGTTGGTTCTTTAAATCTACCGAGTTCCAGTCATGGGCAGCGACTGGCTTTGACGGCGTTCTGCTTATTGAGGGCCTACCAGGTAACACCGCCCCCCGGATCGTCTTTTCGCTGCTGATATAACAGGATGTGGTAAAACATTCCTTGCAGAATATCTCTGTCAAAATCCTGGCACTGAATTACAGATACGATACAGCTTCTACAACTCTCCGAAAAGTGTCTCATTCACCGCGTCAGTCCTTGAAAAATTGCTGAAAATGGCGACGAGCTCTTACCAGTCTGCGAAATGGCACGACAGGGTCATCGAGGCTTCGTTGCCCCTGGCTGAGTTGATAGTACAAAGGCGTCGGGAGGCGCTACGACGATTGCCAGAGGTGCTCAATGACATTTTTTCGAGAGATGAACTGCCCGAAACCACAATCATCGTCGACGCATTGAGCAATTGCGCGGACGATATATTTGATTATCTTGAATCCATCAGTCGGTCACCTAAAGTCAGGCTTGTGGTTCTATCACGCAGTGATCCACGGTTCAGCTCCCCAAAAACAATAAAAATGGATCAGTCCAAGATTGAGGACGACGTGCGAGCGTACGCAAAGGCCAGAATCGCAGGCAGCAAGGGGCTGAGTTGTGTCGGCAACCAGATCCTTGAAAATGTCCCTCGAATATGTTCTGGCACATTCTTGCCCATGAAACTGGTGCTAGACGACCTGGAGCAGGCAGACAGTCTTGAAGACCAAAATGACATCCTCGCACATGCACCAACTAGCCTCGTGGCGATATATGAGAAGCATTGGTCCAGTGAAGAACCAGACGATGCTCGAAGTCGAGATCGGCGACGGGAAATCTTTTCGTTACTCGTTCGCGCTCGGAAACATCTATCGGTTGACGATATTTCTACTTTTATTGCTGTTGATGTTTCTACTAATGAGGTACAATTAGCTCGCAAGCTGAATGACCCTCTGAAGACTATCGAGAAGCTTTGCCGGCCATTTGTGTCCTTCACAAAGCGCAAAGTGGAGATAACGAATCCCTCTATAAAGGATTTTGTCAAACAGCGGGCCGTCAAGGACCCAGACGCGTATCTTGCAGAGAAGTGTTTAAGCGTGCTCGGTCAAGAGGCTTTTGCATCTGTCCCCTACGCAGCTGCTTTGTTGCGGAAACATCTCCTCCCGCAGGGCTTGTCTACCGGCAATACGGTTGACAGAGATTCAGTGCCGTACGAATACGCCGCGTTACACTGGTGGGAGCATGTCACCGCGGTGAAGGAACCCTCTGACTTTTTGCTGTCTAAGTTGTATGACTTCATTACTGGGATACCATCAGTAACCTGGTCCGAGAAACTTGCAGATTTAAAACCCGGCAACGAAGCAACAACTATCAATGTACAGATTGACGTCCGGGCAGAGCTATCGAGCTGGGTACGGGGACTACCACCAGTTACGCGTCCAAAGATCCCACTTGAAGACTTCTTTGTGGCGGCACATCACAAAATACAGCATGAGCTTGCGCAAGATCAAGGTGACCGTCTACTCCCTTTCCTGCCTGCAATTCGGCTCGGCCAGTGGTACAACGTTGGTGGGCAGTCCGGCGAAGACTTTCAAAAGGCCTACGACTATAAGAAGATTGTTGTGGATGGGTTTACCAAAGTGTTAGGAAAGCGCAGCCCTCTAACGCTGAAGGTTCGCACTGAATGGGTCAAAGACTTCTTCTCCCAAGGTCGCATCGAGGAAGCAGAGATGGAGCTGAGCGAGATTGTGCGGATCGAAAAAGAGATATCTGGGGACGCTTCGGAAACTTTTTTCAAAGCACTACAGCTACTTGGCACGGCCCAGTACTGCATGACAAAGTTCGTCGAGGCATTGACATCGTTGAGGGAGTCTGGCACCGGCCTCCTGAAACTTTTCGGTACCAACCAGTGGGTATGCCAGGTCAATGACTTATATGAAGGTTGGGTGCTTGAGCGTCTTGGCGAACCCGGAGAAGCATTGAAGAGATATGAATCAATCGTAGAGCACTGGATTCCAATTGCAGGGAGCACAAATGGGCTTTCTCTGATGGCCATAACATCAATTGGCTCGGTGCAGCGCAAATTCCAGAATTACCAGGCTGCAAAGTCGAATTTGCTAGAGTCCTGGACAAAACGTCGACGCCAATTCAGCTTGAATAACAACACCACCGTTGATTCGGGTTTACAGCTGGCTGTCACGTACCGCGAAAGTAGGGCATATGACGACGCATTGAAGATTTTGAAGCAAGTGGAGGAATCAAGCGTCTTTGGGACAGACTTCGAACGCATATGTCAAGCGGCTCACATCCGTGCGCTGGTGGCATTTGACCAAGGCGAGTTCCTTCGTCCGAAGAATGACCTCTGTCGTATCATCGACGAAACCATTGGAGATAAGCGGGAGAAGAATAACAGGGAGTGCTTGTGGATACGGACGACTTTGGCGGACGCTCTGAAACACCATGGCGAGCGTGATGAGGCACTAATGCTCTTTTCGGAGCTCGTCAAGCCGCTCGAAGTCACATTGGATGGTCGACCATGTACACCGACTCTCAAAGACGAGCCAGAGCCTCCGTCGCAATTGTCGATTGCCGAGAAGGCAGTCAGGCTTGTGAAGGATCGTGACCAGTCGGGCGCTGCAGAGTTGCTGAAGAAAAATGGGTTACAGTGGGTTCGTCAGAAAGACTTCTGGATCCAACAAGGAGGTCCCCCCACAGATACGGCCTGGATGAAGCCTGTGAATTTCACCGAATTTCTGAGCTGCTCTTGGGTCGAGCTTTAGGGGCAGTCTGTGTTTATTGTGGGACAGCCTGTGAATCTGTCTGGGTATTTTGTTCTCCCTCATCGAACATTTTGCTGAATCTATGCTTGCTTTGATCGTGGTAGAGACACCTGTGACATCGGAGCCCTCTAGCCAGCCAAGTCATCAAAGCAATGGTCGATCCCATATTGCTTGTGGTATCTCACTCACCTCCTACTTATCACTTCTAGAATGTGTCTTTTCTTGAGGTTACTGGGACAGGCGTTGGGAGGAACAGACATCCTCTAAGGTGGTTTTGATCGTCAACAGCAAGTGAGGGTTTTATCTTGGTACTGGATCTTGATGTCGGCCTCACCGGAGCACTCTGGTGTC